GGATGGGAAGTCAGGGCTTTGTGATGGCCACTCCAATACCTTGACTTTGTTGTCCTTAAGCCATTTTGCCACAACTTTGGAAGTATGCTTGGGGTCATTGTCCATTTGGAAGACCCATTTGCGACCAAGCTTTAACTTCCTGACTGATGTCTTGAGATGTTGCTTCAATATATCCACCTAATTTTCCTTCCTCATGATGCCATCTATTTTGTGAAGTGCACCAGTCCATCCTGCAGCAAAGCACCCCCACAGCATGATGCTGCCACCCCTGTGCTTCACGGTTGGGATGGTGTTCTTCGGCTTGCAAGGAACCCCATTTTTCCTCCAAACATAACAATGGTCATTATGGCCAAACAGTTCTATTTTTGTTTCATCAGACCAGAGGACATTTCTCCAAAAAGAACGATCTTTGTCCCCATGTGCAGTTGCAAACCGTAGTCTGGCTTTTTTATGGCGGTTTTGGAGCAGAGGCTTCTTCCTTGCTGAGCGGCCTTTCAGGTTATGTTGATATAGGACTCATTTCAAGGTCCTTTGCTGTTGTTCTGGGATTGATTTGCACTTTTCGCACCAAAGTACGTTAATCTCTAGGAGACAGAACGCGTCTCCTTCCTGAGCGGTATGATGGCTGCGTGGTCCCATGGTGTTTATACTTGCGTACTATTGTTTGTACAGATGAACGTGGTACCTTCAGGCGTTTGGAAATTGCTCCCAATGATGAACCAGACTTGTGGAGGTCTACAATTTATTTTCTGAGGTCTTGGCTGATTTCTTTTCATTTTCCCATGATGTCAAGCAAAGAGGCACTGAGTTTGAAGGTAGGCCTTGAAATACATCCACAGGTACATCTCCAATTGACTCAAATTATGTCAATTAGCCTATCAGAAGCTTCTAAAGCCATGACATCATTTTCAGGAATTTTCCAAGCTGTTTAAAGTCACAGTCAACTTAGTGTATGTAAACTTCTGACCCACTGGAACTGTGATATAGTGAATTATAAGTGAAATAATCTGTCTGTAAACAATTGTTGGAAAAATTACTTGTGTCATGCACAAAGTAGATGTCCTAATGACTTGCCAAAACTATAGTTTGTTAACAAGAAATGTGTGGAGTGGTTGAAAAACGAGTTTAAATGACATCAACCTAAATGTATGTAAACTTCTGACTTCAACTGTATCTATCTGATGTGACCAGACTGAGAGTGATGCCGTTTATGATTTTCTTTGGTAACACTTTATAACCTTTAATGAATAAGCATTTATACACCATTAATAAATAAGTATTTCATTATTTGTTAACATTTATAAACATTTATAAAAATGTATAATGGATTGTTCATGAAAGTTATTATTATGTGTTACACATCATTATTTGGCTAAAAGATATAGCCTATTTCTAAGTTATATAGCTAGGTCAATATGTATCATGTTGGTTTCTGAACTGGTTCTAATCTGGTTCAAAAAGAGAAACCTTGAGGACACCTGCTTAAACACACTCAACTTCTCACACATGACGAAACATCGACATGGTCAGAGGTTAAGGCTATTTAAGGAGACACCTGCACTCCTTCAGTCCAGACACCAACAAAGCAACCATGAAGGTGATGATCGCTCTGCTTCTGAGCACTTTGTGCTTTGAAGTCCTCAATGCCCAATGCCCAGAACCCAGTGCGTTGAAAGACGCAGATGGCATGAAGCTTTGCGCACGAATGTTTGAGGACAGTCACTATTATTACGAGCAGAGTTGCGGGGGAGAATATCTCGATGCCTACCCAGGTGAGGACGTCCCCATCATCCCATTGCGCTGGAACAACCGCATCTCTTCCTTGGTGGTGTCAAGGGGTTGCAGCCTTACTGTTTGGAAATACACCAAGAAGAGAGGAAGCAAATCCAAATTCAATGCTGGAATCAAATATCGCCTCAAAGAAACGATGCAAGGTCTTTTGGGCAATTGGGAAAACGACATCTCTGGATACTACTGTGTGTGCTAAAGGCCAAGATCATCACGTTCACCAGACAATTCTACCCATTCCTCTGAATTGATATGCGCAATTAGCATGAGGACGAGGTTAGAGATCATGCAAGAAGAGAGTTTGCCAACAGGAGAGTCTGCCAACAGAAGAGTCTGCCAATCAAAACAGAGACTATGTTGAGTGCATGATAATGATATCCTGTGTCTGGAGAATAAATGTATTTCTGCAAATCATCTTTGGGCCTATGTGAATTTATTTCAGGGAAAATGTTTCGTTCAGGTCAGTTCATAATAACAGGCCTTAAAACAAAGTACCCCTTTTAAAAATGTGTTTTGAATGTATTCATTGACTAAATGTTAATGGTAATGGCCAGTCAGCATGTTATGGTGTGAAGAAAACAAGTTCAAAATGAACCAGAGTAGTCTCAGATGTAATCTGAACAAGTTAGTGTCTGACAATGGGCAGACATTATCGTCTGCAGAATTCATTCAGTTCAGTGTGAAGTATAGATTTCAGCACAATATATAATAATAAAACATAATAATAGAGTTCATTTATATAGTGCTTTACATTATACAGATAATCTCAAATACGCTGAAAAACGAAACAAAAACAAAAGTGCATGTAGTGCTTGGGCTGGAAAATGGTCTTCAACAGACGCTGGTGCCTCCAGGTCACATCCACCTCCTCACATCCACCTCCTCACATCCACCTCCTCACATCCACCTCCTCACATCCACCTCCTCACATCCAACTCCTCACATCCAACTCCTCACATCCAACTCTGGTGGGCTGCACAAAGGCCTAGCCTACAACAATTATATCATCAACAAGTGTACATAAACTGCTGTTATTTAACCTATAAACATCTCAATGGCCCACCAGCTGCCTATAGCCCTCTGTGGCAACTTCCATACATCGTATGATATATCATTACACCATGGTCTAGAGTCTAGACACTAGAGTAAAAGTTTGATAAAATAACATGAATTCAATAAAAAAGAATCACCATTTAACAGAAAACATTTCTGTGGGCAAACTATCCACCTCTGCCCCCAGCAGCAGTGAAAGGGTTAGTGTAGAAGGGCTAGCTTGCTGGGCTAGTTGGAGCCCCCTACTTGCAGTGAGACGACCAATTAATGCCGGAAAACACCTGCTAATGAGACGCTTGGCATTCAACTATGAGGCAGGCACTGTGCCCCCTGCTGTTGTCTGGCAACCCTGCAAGCCCTGCTGGAGATACTGACAATCCAGACAGTACTTTGAGTTACTGGAAGCTTACTGTAACTGCCCCTTGAGAGATTTCACTTCACATTCTATATCAGACTGTCAGGATTCCTAGCCGCACAATGAATTATGATAATAGGCTAGCTATATGGTATTAAACACTATTAAACTCCGTATTACACTCCATCAAGAGTATTTAAATACTTTACAGTGTAGCACAACGGGGGGGGGGGGGGGGGGGGGCAACGACATATAATAACATGTATGGTAATTCAAAGGATAGCGATGACATTTGTTCCCTCCAATCCCAACAGATAAAATGTGTAGAGCCTGATACGAAGCCTCCTCTCCTGTGTAGTCTTGCAGGTACATATTTGTTGTGGGAGTATGTCGGAAAACAACCACTGGGCGTATCTCTCATGACACCTCTCCTGCCTAAGGCTCTTGGTTACATGCAGTCTTTCCCCCCCCATAGAACAGTAGTACACTAATACAGTACAAAATAGATACAGTATTAAAACCAAAATGGCATAGTTACACAAATTGTTTTTCTGTTTAGAAGATAATTAATTAAATCCAATTAGCATTACCCAAATATGCCAGAAAAAGTGTTAAGAGAAAAAATGACAACCTTTGCAACATAATTACAATCTCCTTTCCAAGGAACTGTCTAGTTGTCTAAGGTAAACAGCTCAAATGCTAGTCTAATTGATGACAAGCAAATGATAGAGACACTGTCAGGAAAGAAAGGTCACACCCCATGTCGTCCTGCTACTACTGTTGCATTGAGCCCAACATGGGGCTAGAAAGACAGCTAATTATAAGAGGAGGCAACCTATTCGAGCCCTCCTCCCCATCTTACCCCCTAATCTCTCTCCATTTGGAACTCTAAGTGGGTGGAGAGTGCCTTGTTCAACCATCACACCTCATCTGTAGAGCCCTGGACCTACCAACCCGTCTGTCTTGTTTTTTTGCGGTAAGTGGCTAATTAGAATCTTTGAATTAGATTGTGTTGATGTTTATGTGTTGTGGTCCATAGTGACAGTGACATTGTGTTTTGGTAAATTAAGCATACATTTGGCTGTGTTCTGATATAGGCAAAAAACTGTAAAGTTTTAAATATTTTTTGTTGTACAGTCCATTAAAGTGTAGGTCATATCATGTAAATGTTCATGTCAAAAACAATTCATTCAGATGTCTATGAAAGACGAGTCTGAGAAAATAAACTGCAGTTAAGTTTGGATGTTTCACTGCCCTCTAAACGGGCAGAGTGTGCAACAGTCATCGAGAGCCAAACTGTGCCACACGATAACCAGCAACAAAATTGGGCATTGTATATGGAGGGATGAGAGAGGTGATTGCAGAATTGCCTCTTATTTGCTTTATTCACTTGCAATTTGTAAGAGAACGAATGCTACTACTTTTAATCATCACAAATACAGTATGATCCTCATTAAAGGATAATAGTAAGTGTTAAGCACATTTCATTTACAGATACAGAGAAACAAGTGAGGTGCCCCCTGGGTAATGCTGCTGCCTATGCATGCCCCTCCCTGCACCTCTCCCTCTAAGGCCCTCACTGTAACACTTCCAGCTGAGACCCTGGCAGCAGAAGCAATAACAAGCACATGAAACCATTACACACTATCTCATGCTTTGGCATTTATGTATGATGGAAAATGGCACTACCTGTGTAACTGATTTTAAGAAAAGTGTGATTTTGACGATTCTTGTTAATTTCATTAACATATTGCATGATCTACAAACTGTTGGACCAGGCTGAGGTACAGCGAGAGGAAGCAGGATGTCCAATAACATGGCAAAGATTGCAGATGCCCGTAAGACAGTGGAACAGCTGAAACTGGAGGTCAACATTGAAAGAATGATGGTGAGCAAGGAATGGTTACAAGGCACAAGCGCTGGAGTCCCAGTAGTAGATTCTTTTTTAATCTCTTCATGTTACCGAAAAAGCTGAAGATTCTCAGTAACTACATAGTAAATAGAGCACATTGGCTTTTCCCCACTCTCCAATCTTGTTAACCATGTTTTATATGTGTAGGTGTCCAAAGCAGCAGCTGATCTAATGGCATTCTGTGAGGCTCATGCCAAGGAGGACCCTCTGGTGACACCAGTGCCATCCTCTGAGAACCCCTTTCGGGAGAAGAAATTATTCTGTGCAATACTCTGATCCCCACACTTATAACCCCAAGTTTTGTGTCATTATTAGCACTAATTAATTGCCATTTCTAAGGAATAAAACTGATAGTAACACATTGACGAACACTTGAATATGTTGGTTTTGGTAGGCCTAGTCAGTGACATTATTTTGTATTTAAAAACCTGTATAGTAAATGCTTTATATTTATCTGGATTGATCTGATTGACTGAAATAAAACATTTATGATGGGAGCAATTCTAATTTGATTTGAGTCTGGCCTACACACTGGCCTCTCCCTTCCAGCACACACATGAACTGAAATTGTGCCTAAGTCCTCCTAAAACCCCCAGCAATACTCTACTGGAAAATGCCTGACATCTGAGAGTTATGTGACCCTTTTCAGAGGTTACACAACATTAGTGTTGAACAGGGCTGTTCAACTCCGGTCATGGAGGGTGAAGACACTTCTGGTTCTCATCCTCTCCTAAATCAGGGACTAATTCAAATCCAGGGATACCAGGTGAGTGCAATGAACTACCCGGTAGAAACAAAAACCAGAAGTGTTTCAGCCCTTCAGGACCGGATTTGAACAGCCCTGGTGTAGAAAATAGTCAAATTTAGGTTATTTAGAAATGGACAACTTTAACAACAAACTACCTACCTGCCTTCAGAAAGTATTCATACCCCTTGACTTATTCCACTTTGTTGTTACAGACTGAATTCAAAATGGATTAAATCAAAAAAAAATCTTGGCCATCTACACACAATACTCCATAATGACAAAGTTTAAACATGTTTTTAGAAATGTTTGCACATTTACTGAAAATGAAATACAGAAATATCTAATTTACATACGTATTCACACCCCTGAGTCAATACTTTGTAAAAGCATCTTTGGCAGCGATTACAGCTGTGAGTCTTTCTGGGTGTCTATTTTTAATTTTTTTGGTTCACCTTTATTTAACCAGGTAAGCCAGTTGAGAACAAGTTCTCATTTACAACTGCGACCTGGCCAAGATAAAGCAAAGCAGTGCGATAAAAAACAACAACACAGAGTTACATATGGGGTAAACAAAACATAAAGTCAAAAATACAACAGAAAATATATATACAGTGTGTGCAAATGTAGCAAGTTATGGAGGTAAGGCAATAAATAGGCCATAGTGCAAAATAATTAGAATGTATTATTAACACTGGAATGATAGATGTGCAAGAGATGATGTGCAAATAGAGATACTGGGGTGCAAATGAGCAAAATAAATAATATGGGGATGATGTAGTTGGGTGGGCTAATTTCAGGTGGGCTGTGTACAGGTGCAGTGATCGGTAAGGTGCTCTGACAACTGATGCTTAAAGTTAGTGATGGAGATAAGAGTCTCCAGCTTCAGAGATTTTTGCAGTTCGTTCCAGTCATTGGCAGCAGAGAACTGGAAGGAATGGCGGCCAAAGGAGGTGTTGGCTTTGGGGATGACCAGTGAGATATACCTGCTGGAGCTCATACTACAGGTGGGTGTTGCTATGGTGACCAATGAGCTAAGATAAGGCAGGGATTTGCCTAGCAGTGATTTATAGATGACCTGGAGCCAGTGGGTTTGGCGACGAATATGTAGTGAGGACCAGCCAACAAGAGCGTACAGGTCACAGTGGTGGGTAGTATATGGGCCTTTGGTGACAATACGGATGGCACTGTGATAGACTACATCCAATTTGCTGAGTAGAGTGTTGGAGGCTATTTTGTAAATGACATCGCCGAAGTCAAGGATCGGTAGGATAATCAGTTTAACGAGGGCATGTTTGGCAGCATGAGTGAATGAGGCAAATAGGAAATAGGAAATAGGAAGTCGATTCTAGATTTAACTTTGGAAAGGAGATGCTTAATGTGAGTCTGGAAGGAGAGTTTACAGTCTAACCAGACACCTAGGTATTTGTAGTTGTCCACATACTCTAGGTCAGACCCGCCGAGAGTAGTGATTCTAGTCGGGTGGGCGGGTGCCAGCAGCGTTTGATTGAAGAGCATGCATTTAGTTTTACTAGTGTTTAAGAGCAGTTGGAGGCTACGGAAGGAGTGTTGTATGGCATTGAAGCTCGTTTGGAGGTTTGTTAACACAGTGTCCAATGAAGGGCCAGATGTATACAAAATGGTGTCGTCTGCGTAGAGGTGGATCTGAGAGTCACCAGCAGCAAGAGCGACATCATTGATATACACAGAGAAAAGAGTCGGCCCGAGAATTTAACCCTGTGGCACCCCCATAGAGACTGCCATAGGACAGACAACAGGCCCTCCGATTAGACACATTGAACTCTATCTGAGAAGTAGTTGGTGAACCAGGCGAGGCAGTCATTTGAGAAACCAAGGCTATTTAGTCTGCCAATAAGAATGCAGTGGTTGACAGAGTCGAAAGCCTTGGCCAGGTCGATGAAGACGGCTGCAAAGTACTGTCTATTATCGATCGCGGTTATAATATCGTTTAGGACCTTGAGCGTGGCTGAGGTGCACCCATGACCAGCTCGGAAACCGGATTGCATAGCGGAGAAGGTACAGTGGGTGATCTGTTTGTTAACTTGGCTTTCAAAAACTTTCGAAAGGCAGGGCAGGATGGATATAGGTCTATAACAGTTTGGATCTAGAGTGTCACACCCTTTGAAGAGGGAGATGACCGCGGCAGCTTTCCAATCTCTGGGGATCTCAGACGTTACGAAAGAGAGGTTGAACAGGCTAGTAATATTCTCCATGGACTTTACAGTGTCCCAAAACTTTTTGGAGTTAGTGCTACAGGATGCACATTTCTGTTTGAAAAAGCTAGCCTTTGCTTTCCTAACTGCTTGTGTATATTGGTTCCTAACTTCCCTGAAAAGTTGCATATCGCGGGGGCTATTCGATGCTAATACAGTACGTCACAGGATGTTTTTGTGCTGGTCAAGGGCAGTCAAGTCTGAGGAGAACCAGGGGCTATATCTGTTCTTAGTTCTGCATTTTTTGAATGGGGCATGCTTATTTAAGATTGAGAGGAAAGCACTTTTAAAGAACAACCAGGCATCCTGTACTGACGGAATGAGATCGATATCCATCCAGGATACCTGGGCCATGTCAATTAGGAAGGCCTGCTCGCTAAAGTGTTTTAGGGAGCGTTTGACATTGATGAGGGGTGGTTGTTTGACCGCGGACCCGTTACGGACGCAGGCAATAAGGCAGTGATCGCTGACATCCTGGTTGAAAACAGCGGAGCTGTATTTAGAGGGTAAGTTAGTCAGGATGATATCTATGAGGGTGCCCATGTTTACGGATTTAGGGTTGTACCTGGTAGGCTCCTTGATGAGATTGAGGGCATCTAGTTTGGATTGTAGGATGGTCAGGGTGTTAAGCATATCCCAGTTTAGGTCACCAAGCAGTACGAACTCTGAGGATAGATGGGGGGCAATCAATTCACATATGGTGTCCAGGGCACAGCTGGGGGCTGAGGGGGATCTGTAGCAAGCGGCAACAGTGAGAGACTTATTTCTGGAAAGGTGGATTTTTAGAAGTAGGAGCTCAAACTGTTTGGGCACAGACCTGGATTGTATGATAGAGCTCTGCAGGCTCTCTCTACAGTAGATTACAACTCCACCCCCTTTGGCAGTTCTATCTAGACGGAAAATGTTGTAGTTGGGGATGGACATTTCTGAATTTTTGGTGGCCTTCCTAAGCCAGGATTCAGACACTGCTAGAACATCAGGGTTGGCGGAGTGTGCTAATGCAGTGAATAACTCAAACTTAGGAAGGAGGCTTCTGATGTTAACATGCAAAAAGCCAAGGCTTTTACGGTTACAGAAGTCAACAAATGATAGCGCCTGGGGAGTAGGTGTGATACTGGGGGCTACAGGGCCTTGGTTAACCTCTACATCACCAGAGGAACAGAGTAGGAATAGAATAAGTATACGGCTAATGACTTTAAGAACTGGTCTTCTAGTGCGTTGGGTACAGAGAATAAAGGGGGCAGATTTCCGGGTGTTGTAGAAAAGATTCAGGGCATTATGTACAGACAAGGATATGGAAGGATATGAGTACAGTGGAGGTAAACCTAAGCGTTGGGTAACAATGAAAGAGATAGCATCACTGGAGGCACCGATTGAGCCGGTCTCCGCGTGTATGGGGGGTGGAACAAAGGAGCTATTTGAGGCAGTTTGAGAGGGACTTGGGGTTCTACAGTGAAATTGTATAATAAGAACTAACTGGAACAGCAATAGGCAAGGCATATTGACATGGGAGAGAGGCATAAAGCAATCACAGGTGTTATTCGAGAGAGCTAAGACGACAACTGGTAATGGCGATGAAAGTTTGGGCTGAGGCTAAACAGATAAAACAGGACAGGGTACCATGTAAAGGAACAGTCCAGCAGGCATCAGCTGTGCAGCTGAGTGATCATAAGGTCCAGTGAACAGCAATGTGAGTCCGAGAGCAGTTCAGGCGATCAGGAAGCACGGCTGTTGAATTGCGTATGCTAGCGGGCCGGGGCTAGCAGATGGATCTTCGTGGTCGTTGCAACGGGAAGCCTGTTGAAACCACAGACGATTACGTCGGCAGACCAGTCGTGATGGATCGGCGGGGCTCCGTGTCGACACTAGGAGATCCCGTCCGGTTGACAGAGAGATAGATAGCCGGGAGATGGGCCTGACTCGAGGCTAGCTCAAGGCTGATTAGCCAACCACAACATCCATTCGGTTGCAGCTAGCTAGTTGATCAGTGAGATATACCTGCTGGAGCGCATACTACGGGTGGGTGTCTATAAGAGCTTTGCACCTGGATTGTGCAACATTTGCCCATTTATTATTTTCTAAATTCTTCAAGCTCTGTCAAATTGGTTGTTGATCATTGCTAGAAAACGATTTTCAGGTCTTGTCATAGATTTTCAAGTAGATTTAAGTCAAAACTGTAACTCGGCAACTCAGGAACATTCACTGCCTTCTTGGTAAGCAACTCCAGTGTAGATTTGGCCTTGTGTTTTAGGTTATTGTCCTGCTGAAAGGTGAATCTATCTCCCAGTGTCTGGTGGAAAGAAGACTGAACCAGGATTTCCTCTAGGATTTTGCCTGTGCTTATCTCCATTCCGTTTATTTTTTATCCTGAAAAACGATTACAAGCATACCCATAACATGATGCAGCCACCACTATGCACCACTCCGTCAATTAGGTTAGTATTGTGGAGTAACTTCAATGTTGTTGATCCATCCTCAGTTCTCTCTTATCAGAGCCATTAATCTCTGTAACGGTTTTAAAGTCACCATTGGGGACATCCTTGAGCAGTTTCCTTCCTCTCCGGCAACTGAGTTAGGAAGGACACCTGTATCTTGTAGTCCCGTGTAGCTCAGTTGGTAGAGCATGGCGCTTGCAATGCCAGGGTTGTGGGTTCGATTCCCACGGGGGACCAGTACAAAAAAAATGTATGCACTCACTAACTGTAAGTCGCTCTGGATAAGAGCGTCTGCTAAATGACTAAAATGTAAATGTAAATGTATCTTTGTGGTGACTGGGTGTATTGATACACCATCCAAAGTGTATTTAATAACTTCACCATGCTCAAAGGGATATTCAATGTCTGCTTTATACCAATAGGTGCCATTCTTTAGGAGGCACTGGAAAACCTCCCTGGTCTTTGTGGTTGAATCTGTGTTTGAAATTCACTGCTCGACTGAGGGACCTTACAGATAATTCTGGGGAACAAAGATTAGGTAGTCAATCAAAGATTTTACATTTAAGTCATTTAGCAGACGCTCTTATCCAGAGCGACTTACAAATCGGTGCATAATTAAAGATCATGTTAAACACCATTATCACAGACAGAAGGGGTAACCCAGACATGTCACAGGGGCTGTAAAGCTGAAGCATCCATTTAGAAAATGTTCTCACCACCAAATATGGTAGTAAGAGGAAGTCCAGTCGCGGGTAGTGGGAGAGGATGGAACTAGGTGAAACTGGGCCTACATTCTGCTCATTTTCTCATCGATGAAACATCTGATCTCAATAAATTTTTCTGTTCCCAAAACTAGAATATGTTACACACACAGTGGACTAAGTTTTATAGACTTGATACTTTGGCAAAGTTTATTTTAAATGCGTTGTTTAGAAGGAGTGCAAGGTCGAATTGAATTTGTGCACACCCGCACTTCACAGAGGAGGCGTTCTCTAACAGAAATATGCAAATACATGTTACAACGTGCCAATAGGATCTGACTACCTCGTGCTTGGCTTAGCCCACCTCCTTGCTTGTTCTGCCCACTATGCTTCATTTGCTCCCACTGTAAACGACACAGATGAACTATCTTGGGTTAGTTATAAATATATTTGCTATTATTGCACACAGAGCGAGTCCATGCTACTTATTTTGTGACTTGTTAAGCAAATGTTTACTCCTTAATTTATTTAGGCTTGCCATAACAAAGGGGTTGAATACTTGACTTAAGACATTTAAACTTTTCATAATTCATTGGTACAATTTTTGAAAATGGGGTAGGGGGTATGATGTGTAGGCCAGTGACCAAAAAAATCTCAATTGAATCCATTTAAAAATCAGGCTGTAACACAACAAAATGTGGAAAAAAATCTAGGGGTGTGACTACTTTCTGAAGGCACTGTATATTACTAGATCAAACTGTTCGCATTTGAAACCGGTATTTTATTAGCCTATTGAAGTAGGCATACACACTGCAGGTGAAGCACTACAATGATCAACAAAAAATAAATTCATTAAATAAATAGATAATTACATTTAGCATACCATGTGTTATCCATTTGTAATTAGCACCCTGGGGCGTGTGCTCCTTGGTCGCAGTCAAGTCGCAGTCAAAGCAAGCAAGGGCGGTGTCACATGATGCTTTCAATACAGGTAGACGAGCAGGTGTCCACAGTGTGTGGACAGGTAGGTTACTGTTCATCTCAGCTAACAGGATTAACTGATTTGAGAAGGAGCGGTCATCCAACTGCTCTGTAACAACGAACAAGGTATGCACATTTAAAACTTTCTTTGGATTTTTGTGGTTGTTTTGTATACTGTTTACAAATAGTGGAGAAAAAAAACACTGTTATTTCATGATTGATGAGTAAGGGTACAAAGTCTATGGTGTTAATCCGGTAATAAATGTATAGGACCAGACAAAAGAGAAATACTCAAATTAAACTCAAAATCAACAATTCTTAGTTTTTAATTGTGGTGAGAACAGAAAAATTAACAGAAAATAAGGCAATATTTTATACAATGTTGAAAGTGAATGCTAGGCGACCAGTCAAGAAAAACTTGTCTGACAAATCACTTACAACTCCTCTTTTATGTAAAGTCAACACACACACACACACACACACACACACACACACACACACACACACACACACACACACACACACACACACACACACACACACACACACCACACACACACACACACACCCCTCTGTCGAAACGACAATAAGCAGTAACCAACCAGAGATACACAATACAATACATTACAATGACAGTAACAACCAACACATAAAAAGGATGGAACTTCAGCCAGCTGTGATGCCTAATAAACTAATAAAAAGGATGGAACTTCAGCCAGCTGTGATGCCTAATAAACGAATAAAAAGGATGGAACTTCAGCCTGCTGTGATGCCTAATAAACTAATAAAAAGGATGGAACTTCAGCCTGCTGTGATGCCTAATAAACTAATAAAAAGGATGGAACTTCAGCCTGCTGTGATGCCTAATAAACTAATAAAAAGGATGGAACTTCAGCCAGCTGTGATGCCTAATAAACTAATAAAAAGGATGGAACTTCAGCCTGCTGTGATGCCTAATAAACTAATAAAAAGGATGGAACTTCAGCCAGCTATGATGCCTAATAAACTAATAAAAACACGGACTTCACTGTAAGTGACCTCCCACCAGCATGACTTAAAGGACATCACCCGCACAACCAACTCGTTTTTCCCAGTACAGACAACATAGCAACATTGACCTATTATACACAGCACATGCATAGTCAATTCAGTACACCATTTTTAATAAAGGTTAAATTCACTATGATCACACAAGTGTCTTTTTATATAAATTATCTGACATGACTGGAAACTACAAACCGGTGTGCAGACTACAGAATTTTCTTGCCTTGGTCTCTCTCTCTTCATTGTCCACCTTTAGGTTCTTTCTAACCATCTCTCTCTCTTTTGGGAATGCACAAATGGATTTGCAAGACAAAGGGCTTTAGGATTGGTATCTATCTCCTGGATACATGGGAGTCATTGCCAGGACACAATACGTGTTCTAAATTGACCTCAAGTTAAAATATATATATATATATACACTTTCATTCTGGATTACTAATGACTGAATAGGCCTAGTTCAAAATAATTTCCATCTGCATTGTTTAGTTCATACACACCTTTTTGCACATTTTATTAAAGTTTTGTGAAAATTGTAAAGTTGCTCAAACAATTATTCTCCATAGTATTTTCTATTATCACAAAACAACTTGCTTATGATTTATTTCTCATTTAATGTATCATTCATATTTCTCATTTTTCAGGGTTGACAGGAGGATGGCCAACTTCAAGGGACATGCTCTACCTGGCAGCTGCTTTCTGCTGTTAGGCCTGTGTTGGTCAGTGAAGTACCCTCTCCGACACTGCTGGAGGAGGCGTCAGCCTAAAGGAAGACAAAAACTGCCTCTGTTCTTCAACAGAATCGACTTAATTGAGGGGGCACTCATCATTTTCTTAGCCTTTGTGGGTGAGTGTCTTCCTTGGTGCACTTATTTGGACCGCTCTCTTTCAGGATTTTACACTATGGAATCTCTCAACCACTGAATGATCTGCTAGAGACTGTTTGACCCGGATGTTGTTCTGTCATTCTGTAGGCATCATGGCAGAGCAGTTTGTGCCCGATGGGCCCCATGCCCACCTGTACCTCAGAGAGACTCAGTCCTGGGTGAAGCTGATGAACTGGCAGCACAGCACAATGTATCTCTTCTTCGGCATCTGGGGAATTGTTAAAGTCCTCAGTATGTCATCGCTTCCAGTCCCACTTGGTTTTGACCGACTTGCTCTCTCCCTGGCTTTTTTTATTGAAGGTAGTGTCAAAGGTTGATTGTAAGGTTGATTATTTTAATTTGCAGGTATTCTTACCATCAGGGTAATTGTTATAGTTATTACAAATAGTATTTCCTTGCTCTTTGAACTGTAGACACCGATTAGATGTTATCTGCATATTGTGTTAATATTCCAGGATGTTCCATTTCCCTCCAGGGTTTCTGTTTTACTTCCATGTACACATGCGCCCTCCTCTGGATACCCACATCCACTCCCTGCTGTTTGTGGCGATGTTTGGTGTGGCGGCCAGCACGCTGTTAGAGGTGTTCATGCGAGGTAACATCATACTGGAGCTGCTCAGGACCAGCCAGACCATCCTGCAAGGCTCCTGGTTCTTTCAGGTAATACAGTAGCCTAACACCACCAAAATAACCGTTTTCATTTTCAAATGAGTCGATCTCATGAATCGCACACGCAGAGAACAACTGAGAAAATATGCGTTTGTTGTTTCAGATTGGATTCGTGCTGTACCCATTAAACGGAGTACAGTGGGATCTGAAGGAACACGATAACATAATGTTCGTCACCATGTGCTTCTGCTGGCATCTAGCTGTGGCCCTGCTGATCGTTGGCATCAACTACTGCATAGGCTGGTGGTGAGCATCTTCCTTTATCGATACGCTTTTATATCGCCTTCAAATAGGTCAGTTAACACTCGCACTTTACTTTATCCCTACTAGCACTGACTTTGCTGATAGCTACTTGGAGGAAAGATGTGCTTACTATGACTGAGATATGTGGTTATCCCACCTAGCTATCTTAAGATGAATGCTAAATGACTAAAATGTAAACGTCGAATGAAATAAACTAACTCATTACATTAATATAGCTTGGGTAAATTCACTGGCAGTATGGGATAACTTTCATCCATGGCTTCTTCTTATCTGGTCCTAACAGCTGTGTACAAAGATGTGCAGGAAGAGGAGGTGACATAGAGATCGGGATGAGAAACGCATCCAGCTCCCAGAAGGCTCTGCTACAGGATTCCGATGAAGAGTAAGCAGATGGATCATGAAGTGTACCACAGGAGGTTGGTGGCACCTTAACTGGGGAGGACGGGCTCGTGGCACTGTTATTGTATTCTCTCCAATAGTTTTTTTTGTCTTTAGTTTAACAGTTTTTTCCTGTTTGTATCCATGCTAGCGTGTATATTTTTATTTTGAGTGATATTTTATCAATGAAATAATGAGATGCCTTGTTGAGTTCAGATTAAGGCCAAATTAATTGTAAATAAAATGATTTACAAATGCATGTAATTGAAAGTATAAAAGCTCATTTCTGATTGTCAAGATAATTGAAATGTACTAGCATTCCTTCGAGGTTTCTTCCCTGAAGTGAAACATTAACACCTGACAGGGTTTCCTCATCCCGCCTGTGGCTATAGAGCAACGTGCTTCTTTCCCTCCGGAAAACAGAATGTCTAATGGATTACACAGAACAAAAATATAAACGCAACATGTAAAGTGTTGGTCCCATGTTTCATGAGCTGAAATAAAAGATCCCAGAAATTGTTCATACGCACAAAAAGCTTATTTCTCAAATTTTTAGCACACATTTGTTTACATCCCTGTTCGTGAGCATTTCTCCTTTTCCAAGATAATCCATCCACCTGACAGGTGTGGCATATCAAGAAACTGATTAAACAGCATGATCATTATACAGGTGCACCTTGTGCTGGGGACAATAAAAGTCCACTCTAAAATGTGCAGTTTTGTCAAACAACACAATGCCACAGATGTCTCAAGTTTTGAGGCAGCGTGCAATTGGCATGCTAACTGCAGGAATGTCCACCTTTCCATATAATTGAATTTTAATTTCTCTACCATAAGCCGCCTCCAAAGTCGTTTTAGAGAATTTGTCAGTACGTCCAACCGGCCTCACACAGATCACCTGTATGGCAACGTTGTGAACAGAGTGCCCCATGGTGGTGGTGGGGTTATGGTATGGGCAGGCATAAGCTATGGACAATGAACACAATTGCATTTTATTGATGGCAATCTGAATGCACAGAGATACCGTGATGAGATCCTGAGGCCCATTGTCGTGCCATTCATCCACCGGCATCACCTCATGTTTCAGCATGACAATGCTGAACATGAGGTGAAATGTCGCAAGGATCTGTACACAATTCCTGGAAGCTGAAAACGTCCCAGTTCTTCCATGGCCTGCATACTCACCAGACATGTCACCCATTGAGCATGTTTGGGATGCTCTGGGTTGACGTGTACGACAGCGTGTTCCAGTTGCCACCAATATCCAGCAACTTCGCACAGCCATTGAGGAGGAGTGGGACAACATTCCACAGGCCACAATCAACAGCCTGATCAACTCTAAGGTGAACGTTACCTGCCCCAATGCATAGTGCCAACTGTCAAGTTTGGTGGAGGAGGAATAATGGTCTGGGGCTGTTTTCCATGGTTCGGGCTAGGCCCCTTAGTTCCAGTGAAGGAAAATCTTAGCGCTACAGCATACAATGACATTCTAGACGATTCTGTGCTTCCAACTTTGTGGCAACAGTTTGGGGAATGCTCTTTCCTGTTTCAGCATGACAATGCCCCCGTGCACAAAGCGAGGTCCATACAGAAATGGTTTGTCGAGGTCAGTGTGGAAGAACCTGACTGGCCTGCACAGAGCCCTGACCTCAACCCCATCGAACACCTTTGGGATGAATTGGAACGGTGACTGCGAGCCAGGCCTAATCACCCAACATCAGTGCCCGACCTCACTAATGCTCTTGTGGCTGAATGGAAGCAAGTGTTCGCAGCAATGTTCCAACATCTAGTAGAAAGCCTTCCCAGAAGAGTAGAGGCTGTTATAGCAGCAAAGGGGGGACCAACTACATATTAATGCCCATGAACTTGGAACGAAGCAGGTGTCCACATACTTTTGGTCATGGCGGCAGGTAGCTTAGTGGTTAAGAGCGTTGTGCCAGTAACCGAAAGGTTGCTGGATGATAATCCCCGAGCCGACTAGGTGAAAAATCTGTCGGTGCCCTTGAGCAAGGCACTTAACCCTAATTACTCATGTAGGTCGCTCTGGATAAGAGCGTCTGCTAAATGACTAAAATGTAAATGTAATGTAGTGTATCTGTGACCAACAGATGCATATCTGTATTCCCAGTCATGTGAAATCCATAGATTAGGGCCTAATGAATTTATTTCAATTTACTGATTTCGTTATATGAACTGTAACTCTGTAAAATCTTTGAAATGTTTGCATGTTGCATTTATATTTTTGTTCAGTATATATTTCCAATAAATCTTTAAAATATTTTTTTCATTCATTGTACTGTAGTTCTTAATTTTTTTGGTATGAAATACTCCTACTTTCATACACATAGAAAAAATTGACTGTATTACAACCAGAATCATCAAGAAATGAACATTGACAAATCACTGACAAGGATGTCAAGCAAGGTTACACTGCGATCATTTTTTAATGTCCAAAAGATGGAAACCATAAACTTTGCATTTGAATCGTCACTAATCGCAATGATAAGGCCCTCCATAGACTTATCACTGCATCCATGAGATGAAGGATACCTAGAACAATGTATCTGCTTACTGGATAAGACATCATATCAGTCAGGCTTTAAATTGGATAGAAATAAATAGCAATCAACTTGAATTTGTTTATAGAGATCAACGAGTGGCGTGAAAATACACTTCCAGTCTGTTTACCATTAGTAGAAACTAGGGTAGTTTCAGTCTAGTTTGCATAGTGACATATGCAAGCTGTTGACCGAGCATTGCCTGACACCTACTGTAAGAAAGCTTACAATAAGGATGGATTGAAATTTACATAATGGGTACGTGGAGGGAAATGGGGGAGGGTCATGCTTAGTCAATTTCAGTCAAGAGGAAGGTTTAGTATCTATTTTTAATCTAGTCCAGGGGAGGGTCATAATTTGTATTGGATGAAATGTCTATATTTTTCAGTGTTTTAGAATTAGTTGCTTATTAGGCTGTATATATATTGATGTGTGCCGATGCCACCCCTCATCTCTGATTCTCAGCTGGGCGTGCTATTTAAGTGCACCTATAGGCTATTTAGTGTGGTCTCAATCAAATGACCCATAGCCTATAGGCCAGGGTTCCCCAACTGGCGGCCGGTGATTTTATTTGGCCCTACAAGTTTTTTTGTGTGTGGAATTTTAATTGTTGGACATAAAAGACTGTAAAAACACCAGGAAATCAGCTCCAAGTGGTTTTAATTGAGGGAATCTGTTCCAAAGCATTTCCAAGCATAATAGAGAGACACATGGTCATATACAAATGTAAGCAAGGTTTGAGATGATTCTGTTTTAGTCAAACATTATATCCGTTTGGGCTTCTTGTGGTCAATTTGCAGTCTACAAATTATTTGTTATTATGTTCCGGCCACCCGACCATCCGCTCCAGAAAAAAATAGTCCTGCGGCTGAATCTAGTTGATGATCCCTGCTATAGGCTACGAAGTGCATGCTCAGAGAAGCACGGAGCAAAGTTATATTTCTAAGATAGCTGCTGGGATGGTGTAAATCAAACTAGGCTGCATTACACAATGCAATGGATATTCCAACCCTGAGACCCGGCCTGCTCTGCTCTTGCTGATCAAAAACGTTTTTGTGTGCTGCCAAACCAATGCTGTGCAGGCCTATGGTGGCAGTTCAGCAGGAGAGTCAAAGGCTTCTTCCTAATGTTTTTATCTATTAGGCCTAGTCCAAAACATGCACTATCTTGCATGCGGACTAGCCTATAGCCTATGTTCTGTTCAGTTTGAGAAGGAGAGCGGGAAGAGGAGGACCGGAGGTCAACTTTGATAGCATGCTACTACTATAATTGATTTGATTAAAAACAATATGGGAAAAACAATGTTTCTTGCCCATGATGTACAGTGAGGGGAAATGTATTTGATCCCCTGCTGATTTTGTACGTTTGCCCACTGACGAAGAAATTATCAGTCTATAATTTTAATGGTAGGTTTATTTGAACAGTGAGAGACAGAAACACAACAAAAATTCCAGAAAAACGCATGTCAAAAATGTTATAAATTGATTTGCATGTTAATGAAGGAAATAAGTATTTGACCCCCTCTCAATCAGAAAGATTTCTGGCTCCCAGGTGTCTTTTATACAGGTAACGAGCTGAGATTAGGAGCACACTCTTAAAGGGAGTGCTCCTAATCTCAGCTTGTTACCTGTATAAAAGACACCTGTCCACAGAAGCAATCAATCAATCAGATTCCAAACTCTCCACCATGGCCAAGACCAAAGAGCTCTCCAAGGATGTCAGGGACAAGATTGTAGACCTACACAAGGCTGGAATGGGCTACAAGACCATCGCCAAGCAGCTTACCATCGCCAAGCAGCTTGGTGAGAAGGTGAAAACAGTTGGTGCGATTATTCGCAAATGGAAGAAACACAAAATAACTGTCAATCTCCCTCGGCCTGGGGCTCCATGCAAGATCTCACCTCGTGGAGTTGCAATGATCATGAGAACGGTGAGGAATCAGCCCAGAACTACACGGGAGGATCTTGTCAATTATCTCAAGGCAGCTGGGACCATAGTCACCAAGAAACAATTGGTAACACACTACGCCGTGAAGGACTGAAATCCTGCAGCGCCCGCAAGCCCCCCCTGCTCAAGATAGCACATATACAGGGCCGTCTGAAGTTTGTAAATGAACATCTGAATGATTCAGAGGAGAACTGGGTGAAAGTGTTGTGGTCAGATGAGAACAAAATCGAGCTCTTTGGCATCAACTCAACTCGCCGTGTTTGGAGGAGGAGGAATACTGCCTATGACCCCAAGAACACCATCCCCACCGTCAAACATGGAGGTGGAAATATTATGCTTTGGGGGTGTTTTTCTGCTAAGGGGACAGGACAACTTCACCGCATCAAAGGGACGAGGCCATGTACCGTCAAATCTTGGGTGAGAACCTCCTTCCCTCATCCAGGGCATTGAAAATGGGTCGTGGATGGGTATTCCAGCATGACAATGACCCAAAACACACGGCCAAGGCAACAAAGGAGTGGCTCAAGAAGAAGCACATTAAGGTCCTGGAGTGGCCTAGCCTGTCTCCAGACCTTAATCCCTTAGAAAATCTGTGGAGGGAGCTGAAGGTTCGAGTTGCCAAACCTCATCCTCGAAACCTTAATGACTAGGAGAAGATCTGCAAAGAGGAGTGGGACAAAATCCTTCCTGAGATGTGTGCAAACCTGGTGGCCAACTACAAGAAACGTCTGACCTCTGTGATTGCCAACAAGGGTTTTGCCACCAAGTACTAAGTCATGTTTTGCAGAGGGGTCAAATACTTATTTCCCTCATTAAAATGCAAATCAATTTATAACATTTTTGACATGCGTTTTTCTGGATATTTTTGTTGTTATTCTGTCTCTCACTGTTCAAATAAACCTACCATTAAAATTATAGACTGATCATGTCTTTGTCAGTGGGCAAACGTACAAAATCAGCAGGGGATCAAATACATTTTTCCCTCACTGTAGGCCTATTTATCAGAGTTAAATAATAAGCCAGGTTCAAGTAACTTATATTGTGGTGCTGAGACTTGAAGCAGCAGCCGCGGCACAATCAATCGGAAATGGACAGCTCATGGTGCTAAAAGTAGACACATTCGAGTAGGCATAATTCATTTGAACCGTATTCATTTTAATTAAACTTTACTAACAAGAGGGCTTTGTGTTGGAGCCTATTTCTTCCTATTTAAGAGATAAGAGGTAGGCTTACCTGTTTGACAGAAGAAATTAGGCTATAGGCTGCTATATCCATAGATTTGTCGGTAAATTCCTCAACCCACCATGCACTCTTTAAATAACAGCCCATCACTGACACGAAGGTAGGCTAAGTTAAAACCAAAACTCGAATTGAGGGGGTATGAGATGTTATGCCATATGCCTACTTTTCTAAAACTGTATATCAAAGGCTCTGGTCTGTCCAAGAAGTGAGGGTAAACTGTAGACTTTCTCTGCTATCCAATTCGTTTTATTATTATTTTGTGTTCAGGGAGGGTTTAGGTCAAATATATTTTGCTGAAGGGAGAACCATCCATTTTCTTTTCAAAGAGGTCAAATTGTCTCCATGTAACTCTTATTATAAATAACATTTACTCCCTAAATGCAGTCTATTTCATTAGTGTTGCTGAATCTTAGCCTTGCACAACACATATGTCAGGTGAAACCACTGTCTATAAATGGTCTAGTGATATGCTGTCCTGGGATTACTCCTGTGTTCATCTGCTGCAAACTCTCCAGACATCCGTGCCCTCCTAAACATTGAGAGAGCAGAGTTGGGCTATGGCTCCCAAGCACCACTTGCCTCTGGAGCGGTGGCACTGCACAGAGCAGTAGCGTGTCACTGTGCTGGTGGTGGTGGGTCCGGGGTCCGTTTGGGTGAGGGTGAGGTGGTGACTACCACAGTGGACACTGACTTGGGGGAGCATGCTGCAGAGCGCTGCTGGGCTGTCACCGTCTGGATACGCACCTGGAGGAGACAGGCACATCAACCACTCCTACCAACTACTATACCTGATGCCTAGGGTCAGGAGTTTCCCCAGTCACATGGTCAGGAACAACTTTTTTCCTACAACAGAATGCAGTTTGTTTGGGAGCTGGCTGAGTAATGGGTAAGAGGTGAGCGACTGACTGACCTGTGTGGCCTGTCCCTGCTGCTGCAGCTGCTGTAACTGTTGAGCCGTGACAAAGCTGACTGGCTTGTTCCCAGCTATCAGCTTGGTGCCTGCAGGCATGGTGGTGAGGATGATGTTCCTTCCCAGACTGCTGATGCTGCACCGACCAGAGAGAGACACACCAGTCAGTCTACATCAGGCTGCTTACTGCCATGGGGACAACTGACACATACAGTGCCTTCGGAAAGTATTCAGACTCCTTGACTTTTTCCACATTTTGTTTTCCATATATTCTAAAATGGATTACACTGATTTTTTCCCCCTCATCAAACTACACACAATACCCCATAATGACAATGCAAAAATAGGTTTCTAGAAATGTTTGCTAATTTATCAAAAATAAAAAACAAAATATTACATTTACATAAGTATTCAGACCCTTTCCTCAGTACTTTGTCGAAGCACCTTTGGTAGCAATTACAGCCTCGAGTCTTCTTGGGTATGACGCTACACGCTTGGCACAACTGTATTTGGGGAGTTTCTCCCATTCTTCTCTGCAGATCCTCTCAAGCTCTGTCAGGTTGGATGGGGAACGTTGCTGCACAGCTATTTTCAGGTCTCTCCAGAGATGTTCGATCAGGTTTAAGTCCAGGCTCTGGCTGGGCCACTCAAGGACATTCAGAAACTTGTCCCAAAGCCACACCTGCGTTGTCATGGCTGTGTGCTTAGGGTTGTTGTCCTGTTGGAAGGTGAACCTTCGCCCCAGTCTGAGATCCTGAGAGCTCTGGAGCAGGTTTTCATCAAGGATCTCTCTGTACTTTGCTCCGTTCATCTTTGCCTCGATCATGACTAGTCTCACAGTCCCTGCCGCTGAAAAACATACCCACAGCATGATTCTGCCACCAGCATGCTTCACTGTAAGGATGGTGCCAGGTTTCCTCCAGATGTGACGCTTGGCATTCTGCCAAAGAGTTCAATCTTGGTTTCATCAGACCAGAGAATCTTGTTTCTCATGGTCAGAGTCTTTAGGTGACTTTTGGGAAACTCCAAGCGTGCTGTCATGTACCTTTTACTGAGGAGTGGCTTCCGTCTGGCCACTACCATAAAGGCCTGATTGGTGGAGTGCTGCAGAGATGGTTGTCCTTCTGGAAGGTTCTTCCATCTCCACAGACGAACTCTGGAGCTCTGTCAGAGTGACCATCGGTTTCTTGGTCACCTCCCTGACCAAGGCCCTTCTCCCCCGATTGCTCAGTTTGGCCAGGCGGCCAGCTCTAGGAAGAGTCTTTGTGGTTCCAAACTTCTTCCATTTAAGAATGATGGAGGCCACTGTGTTCTTGGGGACCTTCAATGCTGCAGATACTTATGTAAATAAGGTATTTCTGTTTTACATTTTTAATAAATTAGCACAAATGTTTTCTATTTTTGCTTTGTCATTATGGGGTAGTGTGTGTAGATTGCTGATGATTTTTTAAAATCCATTTTAGAATAAGGCTGTAACGTAACAAAATGTGGAAAATGTCAAGGGGTCTGAATACTTTCAGAAGGCACTGTATACAGTGAGCTACAAAAGGTATTGGGGATGGTGACACATTTTTGTTATTTTGGCTCTGTACTCCAGCACTTTGGAAATGATAAAATGACTGAGGTTAAAGTGCAAACTGTAGGCTATAATTGGAGGGTATTTTCATCCATATCGGGTTAACCATTTAGAAATTACAGCTCTTTTTGTACATAGTCCCCCCATTTTAGGGGACCAAAAGTATTGGGACAAATTCACGCATCCTGAATGAATCGTGAATAATGATGAGTGAGAAAGTTTGAGGCATAAATATCATACCCCTCTAAAAATGCTAACCTCCCCTGTTATTGTAATGGTGAGAGGTTAGCATGTCTTGGGGGTATAATATTTGTGCGTCTGTAACTTTCGCACTCATCATTATTCACGATTCATTCAGGACTATCTGGAATCATGTTAGCATCCACATTAATGTAGACGTGTTTAGAAACATATTCTATTCATTTTGCATCATATGATGCTGCGCTTTGCATCACATGATGCTAAATGCATCATTCAGGGATGATTTCTGTATTTTTTTAAGTTACATATCTTGAAAACTTGATTGCTGACAAGCAAAACATTTTGGGACTCTGTCAACAATGGACTAATGAAACAAACACCAAAAGATCGTTTTTGGGTGGCGTTTTCCTTTAAGGCTGAACTGAACATGAGGACTCACTTGGTACTGAGGTTTCCTTTCAGTATGGGCGTGGTCATCACACTCTTGCTTTTCAGTGGTTGGCTGAGGACAGACAGAGGCACTGTGAACCGAGCTGGTAACTTCCCCTGGGGAAATAAAAGAGAGAGAGGGAGACAATCATTGGATGATAATTTCAAAGGTGGGGTGGTGGGGGCTATAGAGAATGTGGCTATATAGAATGTCTTGAAAATAAAAGAGATCCTATGTTAGCCCTTCCAACAGAGGCAGACAAGGTGTCTGGATACAGAAGTGCTACAGTGCTGTTATTACACAACCATCCTGAATCCCACAGTAAATATAAGAGGGGAGTTAATAATCATGTTGGGGTCTTACTGGTTGTGTGGACACCACTGTGGCTGTGACGGGGACCTGGCGGACAGTAGCTGTGGCTGTTCCCAGAGTCAGAGAACCTGAGGCAGAAGAGCCTACCGTCACCCCTTTAGCTCCGGCCAGTCCGCTGGTGGCTATGGTGACAGTGGCAGCTCCAGTGGAGACTGGTTTGCTGCCAGTGGTGGTTGTCATGGTGATGGTTTGGCCCTGTTTCTGTGGGATGACCCCGAGGCCGGGCATGATCCGTATGGTGGTGCCACTCTTCGAGTCAGACGAGGAGACGGTGGAGAAGGTTCTGGTCTTCTGCTCAGCCATAGTGACTGCTAGGGTGGGCATCAGGCGGATAGTGTCCCCTGCAGTCTTCAACATGGTGGTGGTGGTGCCAGCGGAGGCCTTGCTGGTCCGGATTTCACCCGAGGAGGAGGCTGGGCTAGAGGTGGAGTGGGGTGGGGTCATATGGAGAGTAGCAGATATGCTCTTGGTAGTGGCAGTGCCTAACATGTCGGGGGTGAGTTTGACAGTGGTGAGGGGGGACTTGGTTAGGGTGGCCATCATGTCAGGAGTGATTCGCAGCACCGTCTGTCCTTTAGAGTCTGTGGTGATGGAGGAGGGGGGCAGGCGTAGCACATCCTTGCCCTGGATGCGAAGATTGGTAGCCGTTATTGGAAGACCCGCTCTACCTTGAGACTTTATGCCCAATTGGCCTGTGATAGCCACCTTTAGAGAGATAAATTACATGAGAATAAAACATACAGGAAATACTCTCACAAATGAAAAAATGAAAGCTCTTTCATGAACACATTACAGCGAAACTACAATGATCTGAAACATTATTTACATGTAAATCCTTAAATGCCTCCTAATTAAATGTAATAACTTCCTGTTCACCTGTTTGATGATGTTCTGGCTGGTGACTCCCTGTCGGACAGTGGGGGAGGTAGGGTTGTGTACTGGGCCGCCAGGGGAGCCAGTCTGAGGTTTGGCTACAGTAACAGCAGTGGTCAGGCCTGACACTGACAGGGTTGTCTGCCCTCTGGACGCCTGCACCTGGATGGGGCTACCAGCAGACTGGGTCCTCAGTGGTAATGACACCACGGCCTGCTCACAGTTACAGGGTGGAGAGAGGAGAAACACAACCCTTTAATTACATGCACCAGTGCCTTACAGCAAAAAATGCCTCTTATCTGTGGTTCAAGACCATGTCTGATTAATACAGTTAAATATGGTGCAAATTCCAGGTAAATGTTTTTAGCTCTACTCGATTTAACACTGAAGAGACTCTCAGTTCTCTTGATAGTCAGCATTGGATTGTTTTGTTGGTAACAGAATGGTCAGTGATTAACCTGTGTGATGCCCTTGGTTCCCATGGTGACTGGCACTCTGATCTGATGAGGGGTCTGGTGCACCAGCGTGGCCTGCTGTCCTCCTGCTGTCTGGTTAGAGACCACTCGTACCTGTGAGAGAGAGCCTGACTGGTGGCCCACTATCCTGGCTGTGTGCTGGGATGTAGCTGGCTGAGAGACCTGGGGGCCAGACTGGCTGCTGGACAACAGGGTCCCCAGCTGGGGCATGGGTGGAGGAGACACCAGTAGAACACTAAGGGTGAAGAGAGCAGGGCATTAGTACTTACATAACATCAATAAGTTATATAATTGAGCCTGATAAGAGTTAATCCATGGAAGCTGGGTTATACTGACCCAGGACTGTTCTTGACTGAATCTTGGATCCCAGCTTTGGTGGGGGTTGTGGCTACAGTGGCGAGGGGTGATTTGGGGGTACCAGGGGTGCTGGTAGTGGGGGTGGTGGGAGTTGGGGACATGGGACCCCCCACATCACCTGCTTCCAGGCCTCCAGGGGTCTTACCACCCCCCTCCTTACTTCCAGACTTCTATAACACACAGGGTGCATAGTCACCATCAACACATACCACAACCATGACATACAGTTAGAGCCAGATATATTGGCACCGTTGCCAATATAAAAACAGCTTCTATCTCCAGGACATCAGACTGTTAAATAGCCATCAATACCCAGCCTCCTCCCAGTACCCTGCCCTGAACTTAGCGACTGTTACTAGCCGAAAACTAAAAACAGGGAGGTTTTCCAATGCCTCGCAGATGGGCACCTATTGGTAGATGGGTCAAATAAAATGCCAATACAACACATTACTGAGTACCACTTTCCATATTTTCAAGCATAATGGTGGCTGCATCATGTTATGGGTATGTTTGTAATTGTTAACAAAATGTGGAATAAATCAAGTGGTATGAATACTTTCTGAAGGCACGCCATCATATACATACAGTGCATTCGGAAAGTATTCAGACCCCTTTACTTTTTCCCCATTTTGTTACGTTACAGCCTTATTCTAAAATTGATTAAATTGTTAAAATAATATTTTTTCTCAGTTTACACAATTCCTCATAATGACAAAGTGAAAAAAGGTTTAGAATTTTTTGCAAATGTATTAAATATAAAAAACAGAAATACCTTATTTACATAAGTATTCAGACCCTTTGATATGGTGCTCAGGTACATCCTGTTTCCATTGATCATCCTTGAGATGTTTCTACAACTTGATTGGAGTCCACCTGTGTTAAATTCAATTGATTGGACATGATTTTGAAAGGCACACACCTGTCTATATAAGGTCCCACAGTTGACAGTGCATGTCAGAGCAAAAACCAAGCCATGAGGTCAAAATAATTGTCCATATAGCTCCGAGACAGGATTGTGTCAAAGCACAGATCTGGGGAAGGGTAGCAAAACATTTCTGCAGCATCGAAGGTCCCCAAGATGGCCTCCATCATTCTTAAACAGAAGAAGTTTGGAACCACTAAGACTCTTCTGGAACCACTAAGAAGGGCCTTGGTCAGGGATGTGACCAAGAACCTGATGGTCACTCTGACAGAGCTCCAGAGTTCCTCTGTGGAGATGGGAGAACTTTCCAGCAGGACAACCATCTCTGAAGCACTCCACCAATCAGGCCTTCATGGTAGAGTTGCCAGGCGGAAGCCACTCCTTAGTAAAAGGCACATGACAGCCCGCTTGGAGTTTGCCAAAAGGCACCTAAAGACTCTCAGACCATGAGAAACAAGATTCTCTGGTCTGATGAAACCAAGATAGAACTCTTTGGCCTGAGTGCCAAGCGTCACGTCTGGAGGAAACCTGACATCATCCCTACGGTGAAGCATGGTGGTGGCAGCATCATGCTGTGGGGAGGTTTTCAGTGGCAGGGACTGGGAGACTAGTCAGGATCGAGGGAAACGGAGCAAAGTACAGAGAGATCCTTGATGAAAACCTGATCCAGAGCTCTCAGGACCTCAGACTGGGGCGAAGGTTCACCTTCCAACAGGACAACGACCCTCACACAGCCAAGACAACGCAGGAGTGGCTTCATGACAAGTCTCTGAATGTCCTTGAGTGGCTCAGCTAGAGGCTGGACTTGAACCCAATCAACCTTCTCTGGAGAGACCTGAAAATAGCTGTGCAGTGATGCTCCCCATCCAACCTGACAGAGCTTGAGAGGATCTGCAGAGAAGAATGGGAGAAACTCCCCAAATACAGGTGTGCCAAGCTTGTAGTGTCACACCCAAAAAGACTTGAGGCTGTAATTGCTGCCAAAGGTGCTTCAACAAAGTAATGAGTAAAGGGTCTGAATACTTATGTAAATGTTATATCAGTTTTACATTTTTAATACATTTGCAAAAAATTCTAAAAACCTGTTTTTGCTTTGTTGTTATGGGGTATTGTGTGTAGATTGAGGAGAAGAAGAAAAAAACGTAATAAGGCTGTAATGTAACAAAATGCGGAAAAAGTATGTGGACACCCCTTCAAATTAGTGGATTTGGCTATTTCAGTCACATCCATGCTGACAGGTGTATAAAATAGAGCACACAGCCATGCAATCTCCATAGACAAACATTGGGAGTAGAATGGCCCGTACTGAACAGCTCATTGACTTTCAACGATGCCACCTTTCCAACAAGTCAGTTCGTCAAATTTCTGCCCTGCTAGAATTGCCCCTGGTCAACTGTAATTGCTGTTATTGTGAAGTGGAAACCGCTAGGAGCAACAACGCTCAGCCGCGAAGTGGTAGGCCACACAAGCGGGACTGCAGAGTGCTGAAGCGCGTAGCGCATAAAAATAAAGATATGCATCTGTTGGTCACAGATACACTACATGACCAAAAGTATGTGGACACCTGCTCGTCGAACATCTCATTCCAAAATCATGGGCATTAATATGGAGTTGGCTCCCCTCTTTGCTGCTATAACAGCTTCCACTCTTCTGGGTAGGCTTTCCACTAGATGTTGGAACATTGCTGCGGGGACATGCTTCCATTCAGCCACAAGAGCATTAGTGAGGTTGGGCACCGATGTTGGGTGATTAAGCCTGGCTCGCAGTCGGTGTTCCAATTCATCCCAAAGGTGTTCAATGGGGTTGAGGTCAGGGCTCTGTGTAGGACAGTCAAGTTATTCCACACAGATCTCGACACACCATTTCTGTATGGACCTCATTTGTGCACGGGGGCATTGTCGTGTTGAAACAGGAAACGGCCTTCCCCAAACTGTTGCCGCAAAGTTGGAAGCACAGAATCATCTAGAACGTCATTGTCTGCTGTAGCGCTAAGATTTCCCTTCACTGGAACTAAGGGGCCTAGCCGAACCATGAAAAACAGCCCCAGACCATTATTCCTCCTCCACCAAACTTTACTGTTGGCACTATGCATTGCCAGAGAATCCACTAATTTGAAGGGGTGTCCACATACTTTTGTATATATAGTGTAGCTACACTGGTACATGGAAAAAAAAGTTATTAACTACTGAAACTACCAAGATTTGAACTGAGTTCAACTACCACCAAGCTATTGCAAAATGTAGTTGAATTACTAGTTGAACTACATGTAGTTCACTACTCCCCAACACTGCTTGTCTAACCATTCCAGGGTGCTTTTGATGTGTGTTAGGTGTTATTGTCCTGCTGGAAGACCCTCAACCGAGACCCAGTTTTTGGACACTGGGTTGAACATTGCACTCCAAAACACCTTGATAATCTGCTGTTTTCATGATGTCTTGCACACGTTCAAGGCCCCCAGTACCAGAGGCAGCAATGCAACCCCACAGCATTATCAAACCTTCCCTATGTTTGACTGTAGGGAGGGTGTTCTTTTCTTTGAATGTTTCAGATCAGTGCTGGGTTTACTGACGACCAAATGAAGCGTTCATTGAAAAGAACACCCTCCCTACAATCAAACATGGGGGAGGTTGAAATCATCTTGAAATCAGCAGATTATCTGGTGTTTTGGAGTCCAAAATTCAACCCAGTGTCCAAAAACCTGTTCTCCATTGAAGGTTGTGGGTCTTCCAGCAGGACAACGACCCCAAATACACATCAAAAAGCACCCAGGAATGGTTCAAGAAGAAACACTGGACTGTTCTGGAGTGGCTAGTCAAGAGTCCAGATCTAAATCACATCCAAAACCTACGGCGAGAGCTGAAAACAGCAGTTGGTGGAGGGCAACCCTCAAACATTGAAGAATTAGAGCAGTTTGCTGCTGAAGAGTGGGCCAAATTGCCAGAAGAAAGGTGCAGCAAGCTCATTGATGGTACAAGAAGTGTTTGTCTGCAGTTACCTTGGCCAAAGGCTGTGCAACCAAGTACTAGCTCCGGGTGCCAAATTCTTTGTCCATGCCATTTGTCTTTATTTTCTAAATTAAAATTGTAAACTTAAGTTTACAAGACTAAAATTGGTTCTACAATGATGCAATTCAAATAACAAGGTGTGGAGACCAAAAGTGTTTAAAATGTCTAATTACACTGAACAAAAGTATAAATTCAACATGCAACAATTTCAACAATTTTACTGAGTTGGAGTTCATATAAGGAAATATGTCAATTGAATAAATTAATTAGGCCCTAATATATGGATTTTATATGACTGGGCAGGGACGGAGCCATGGGTGGGCCTGGGAGGGCATAGGCCCACCCACTTGGGAGACTGGCCCACCGACTGGGGAGCCAGGCCCAGCCACTCAGAATTCGTTTTTCCCCACAAAAGGGCTTTATTACAGACAGAAATACTCCTCTGTTTCATCAGCTGTCCGGGTGGCTGGTCTCAGACGATCCCGCAGGTGAAGAAAACGGATGTGGAGGTCCTGGGCTGGCGTGGTTACACGTGGTCTGCGATTGTGAGGCCGGTTGGACCTACTGCCAAATTCTCTAAAACGACGTTGGAGGCGGCTTATGGCAGAGAAATGAACATTACATTCTCTGGCAACAACTCTGGTGGACATTCCTGCAGTCAGCATGCCAATTGCATGCTCCCTCAAAACTTGAGACATCTGTGGCATTGTGTTGTGTGACAAAACTGCACATTTTAGAGTGCCCTTTTATTGTCCCCAGCACAAGGTGGACCTGTGTAATTATCTTGATATGCCACACCTGTCAGGTGGATGAAGAAATTCTTACTAACAGGGATGTAAACAAATTTGTGGCCCAACATTTTTGTGAAGTAAGCTTTTTGTGCGTATGGATCATTTCTGGGATATTTTATTTCAGCTCATGAAACATGGGACCAACACTTTACATGTTGCGTTTATATTTTTGTTCAGTATATTTGAGAAGAAATAGGGGAATTATTTAAGAAAAGTGCAAGGGTGCCAATATATTTGTCCGCAACTGTATGTTAGACAACAACAGACCTAATTCCATAGTAACAGTTTGATCAGCCCATCATCAGGATTCTAGACAGAAGTGACAAGTGGTTTAGCAAGACTTTCCACATTCAAAGATGCAAATTCTCCAGTCTACATATAAGCTGAGAGGGTATGTCAGTCTACATTCAAGCTGAGAGGGTATGTCAGTGTGCATTAGCAGAGAGGGTATGTCAGTGTACATTAGCTGAGAGGGTATATCAGTGACATTAGCAGAGAGGGTATGTCAGTGTACATTAGCAGAGAGGGTATGTCAGTGTACATTAGCAGAGAGGGTATGTCAGTGTACATTAGCAGAGAGGGTATGTCAGTGTGCATTAGCAGAGAGGGTATGTCAGTGTGCATTAGCAGAGAGGGTATGTCAGTGTGCATTAGCAGAGAGGGTATGTCAGTGTGCATTAGCAGAGAGGGTATGTCAGTGTGCATTAGCAGAGAGGGTATGTCAGTGTGCATTAGCTGTGAGGGTATGTCAGTGTACATTAGCTGTGAGGGTATGTCAGTGTACATTAGCAGAGAGGGTATATCAGTGACATTAGCTGAGAGGGTATGTCAGTGACATTAGCTGAGAGGGTATATCAGTGACATTAGCTGAGAGGGTATATCAGTGTACATTAGCTGAGAGGGTATGAAACGTCTATTTGTCAGAGGTAGAGAAATTACAGCAGAGTAGAGGCAGTGGGACTCACAGGCTTGGACGCAGGTTTAGGTTTCTGCTGCAGAGCCTTTCTGGCCTTGGCAGCAGCAGCTTGAGCCTGATGAATCCTCTCTAGATGGGGAGTGAATATTTAGTTTTAACAATGTGCCTGTGGGCTAATGAGGTAAGCTATGTCAACCACATTAATATCTTTTCACTTTCCATTGGTAGAAAGTAATGCTCACCAAACTCCTCCTGACCGCGGTCGCGGTGCAGATAGATCCACAGCTTGCGGCCGATGTCATACTTCACACAGGGGTCCTTCTCATAGTGCAGCCTGTCCAGAGCCCCACTCACAACTGTGTTCACCTGCAGGAAACATTACATGAGGTACAGTGCTCAGTCACAGACAAACAAGGACAGACTGACAACAATAACCCAGTTGCCCTGAGTATCTAACCTGAGCACTGGTGACATCTGGTGCCAGGAACTGAGAGTCCTTGAGCAGCTCACAGATCTCAGCTCTGGTCCCCTCTCCGTTGGGCAGCCGGGCTGCTGCGTCCCGCACTGAGGGAGAGGAGGAGCAGAACAGTCCTATCTAACGTGTGGCTACTGCAACAACACCACACACTGATGGCAGGTGTCTACATGACTGTGACTGGTTACATTGAAAGGGTCAAGTCTTACCCAGGGAGAGGATGGTGACATAAGCTGGGCGGTCTGAGCGCAGCAGAGTGTGTTCTCTGGCTTTGTTGAGAGACATCTCCTTGTCAAAGACCCCCTTAACAGGCCCCACCACAGACTCAAAGCCATGCATTCTGAAGGTGAAGGCTTTGTGCGGCTGGTCATACCGCTGCTGCTCCTGATGATCAAAACAAGAACATGGATGCATAATGATTACAGAGAACACTGTGTGATCGTTGGAAATAATACTCAATACAGAAGAGATCCTAGACTAAAAAGGTAGAGACGTGACACTGACCTGCACTTGGAAAACATGCCTCTCATCTCCCGTGCTGGGCCGCACCACGAAGTCAGTCCAACTGCTTAGTTAAAGAGAGAACAGCAAACAGTATTACAATAAAATCAAAATCCCACTATGGCAATAAACACATACACTACCTAAGTCATTCTGAGTAAGAGCATCTGTGAAATGAATAACGTGGAAACTTACACTCTAGGGGTGGGAGAAGTCATCTCTGTTAGTTCTTCACATTCTGTCTGTAGAGGACATTGTTATTTTATTCAAGTGTATTAGAGGGAACAGAGAACGACCATACTGACAGAGTAGTGAGAGGTGGAAATGTGTACTTGCAATACCTTGACCACAACCAAGTCCTTGGAGTCGACCCACAGCTGACACAGAGCACTCAAATCCTTCTCTCCATCCTGACTGGGACCTTCGAGACATGAGATCGAGACAAACCTCAGTCTCAAACTATAAATATTTTCATTTGCATTGTGCCAGAATTTGGACAGATCAACTGACTGACAAAAAGGAGATCTTACCAATCCATTTCCATCGCTGTGAGTTTTCCCTGAACGCCACATAGGGAGTGAAGCCACTGGGAAGAACCAACATACCGACTGAGTGAGAGAGGAAGATAGTGAACAAAGGAGAGAGAGAGAGAGTGAGTGAGTGAGATAAGAAAGATGAGAGGATGATGATATGACATACTACTGCTTTAACGATGCAGAGAAGAAGATGTCTGCCTGATCACCTTTAGTCTCCCCAGCCAGGAAGTGCAGGGCCGGCAGCACCATCTCTGACCAGCAGGAGGCCGAGGAGAACCAGGGGTTCAGGGAACTAGCTGGAGATGTCTGCCACTGTTGGACCTTCTCCTCCAACTAACAACAGGACATACATGAATCATTATATACTCTTAAAGTGTTACAACAGTTCCACTTCAAAGTTACAGCTCAGCTCACCACATACCAACTCAGTGGCCTTGTGGTTAGTGTCCGCCCTAAGTTATACCAAAGACCCCAAAAATGGGACCCGATTCAACTCTGCTTGGCACTCGGCAATAAGGAGATAGATTGGGGGTAGAAAGGCACTGTGATAGACTAGCGTCCTGTCCAGGGGGTGTGCTTGTACGTCAAGCTGCCTCACGCTACAGAAACAGGAAATAGGATCCTGCTCCTATGAGCCTTTCTGGCTCGCTCGTGCAAAGCTTCTTACTGATCACATACGCCACCATGTCGCCAAACCTAGTAGCAATGTACTTGTGTAGGTACAGTGGGGGAAAAAAGTATTTAGTCAGCCACCAATTGTGCAAGTTCTCCCACTTAAAAAGATGAGAGAGGCCTGTAATTTTCATCATAGGTACACGTCAACTATGACAGACAAAATGAGAAGAAAAAAATCCAGAAAATCACATTGTAGGATTTTTAATGAATTTATTTTACAAATTATGGTGGAAAATAAGTATTTGGTCAATAACAAAAGTTTCTCAATACTTTGTTATATACCCTTTGTTGGCAACGACACAGGTCAAACGTTTTCTGTAAGTCTTCACAAGGTTTTCACACACTGTTGCTGGTATTTTGGCCCATTCCTCCATGCAGATCTCCTCTAGAGCAGTGATGTTTTGGGGCTGTCGCTGGGCAACACGGACTTTCAACTCCCTCCAAAGATTTTCTATGGGGTTGAGATCTGGAGACTGGCTAGGCCACTCCAGGACCTTGAAATGCTTCTTACGAAGCCACTCCTTCGTTGCCCGGGCGGTGTGTTTGGGATCATTGTCATGCTGAAAGACCCAGCCACGTTTCATCTTCAATGCCCTTGCTGATGGAAGGAGGTTTTCACTCAAAATCTCACGATACATGGCCCCATTCATTCTTTCCTTTACACGGATCAGTCGTCCTGGTCCCTTTGCAGAAAAACAGCCCCAAAGCATGATGTTTCCACCCCCATGCTTCACAGTAGGTATGGTGTTCTTTGGATGCAACTCAGCATTCTTTGTCCTCCAAACATGACGAGTTGAGTTTTTTACCAAAAAGTTCTATTTTGGTTTCATCTGACCATATGACATTCTCCCAATCCTTTTCTGGATCATCCAAATGCACTCTAGCAAACTTCAGACGGGCCTGGACATGTACTGGCTTAAGCAGGGGGACACGTCTGGCACTGCAGGATTTGAGTCCCTGGCGGCGTAGTGTGTTACTGATGGTAGGCTTTGTTACTTTGGTCCCAGCTCTCTGCAGGTCATTCACTAGGTCCCCCCATGTGGTTCTGGGATTTTTGCTCACCGTTCTTGTGATCATTTTGACCCCACGGGGTGAGATCTTGCGTGGAGCCCCAGATCGAGGGAGATTATCAGTGGTCTTGTATGTCTTCCATTTCCTAATAATTGCTCCCACAGTTGATTTCTTCAAACCAAGCTGCTTACCTATTGCAGATTCAGTCTTCCCAGCCTGGTGCAGGTCTACAATTTTGTTTCTGGTGTCCTTTGACAGCTCTTTGGTCTTGGCCATAGTGGAGTTTGGAGTGTGACTGTTTGAGGTTGTGGACAGGTGTCTTTTATACTGATAACAAGTTCAAACAGGTGCCATTAATACAGGTAACGAGTGGAGGACAGAGGAGCCTCTTAAAGAAGAAGTTACAGGTCTGTGAGAGCCAGAAATCTTGCTTGTTTGTAGGTGACCAAATACTTATTTTCCACCATAATTTGCAAATAAATTCATAAAAAATCCTACAATGTGATTCTCTGGATATTTTTTTCTCAATTTGTCTGTCATAGTTGACGTGTACCTATGATGAAAATTACAGGCCTCTCTCATCTTTTTAAGTGGGAGAACTTGCACAATTGGTGGCTGACTAAATACTTTTTTTCCCCACTGTATAAGTGAGTGAATACCATGGCGGTGCTGGCGAGGCCGTCTAGTCTCAGGATGTTCTCCAGCAGGTTGAAGAAGCTCACAGCGATCTCCTCCACCATGACAGGGCTGTTCTGCACCTCCTCCATCGGCCTGCAGAGAGAAAAAGTATGGCGTGCAGTGTTCAACTGAATTCATGATAGCATCTAAATGTCTGTAGCACAAGAATATCAGTAAAGCTGTAATTTTCCTTCACTCATTGAATGTATGTACACAGATGTTCTATCATAACAATAGCATGCGATATTTCATTACAAACTTGTCAGGTAAAAGTGCCATCTTTGTGGGATGAGTACATAGACTTCGCACTGTAACCAGTGCCTGTAATCTGGTTAGGGTTATTAATCAACCTACAAGGGTGTTTACAAACACTACAGGAACAAGATCATCCATATGTATTGATCACATTTTTACTAATACTGTAAAACTTTGTTCTAAAGCTGTATCCGTACCCATTGGATGCAGTGATCACAACATAGTGGCTATATCCAGGAAAGCCAAAGTTCCAAAAGCTGGACCTACAATAGTGTATAAGAGATCATACACATACTCTTATGTGGATGTTAAAAATATTTGTTGGTCTGATGTGATTAATAAGGAGCATCCAGACGCTGCACTTGATGAATTCATGAAAATGCTTCTTCCAATTATTGATAAACATGCACCTGTTAAGGCTCCATGGATTGATGAGGAATTTAAAAACTGTATGGTTGAAAGAGATGGGGCAAAAGGAGTGGTTAATAAGTCTGGCTGCACATCTGACTGGCTGACTTACTAAAAATTGAGAAATTATGTGACTAAACTCAACAAAAAGAAAACGTATTATGACGCCAAGATCAATCAAATATTAACTTTAAATGAAATTATGGGCAGAAAAAACAAATTGAACTCCATTTCATCGAATCAGATGGCTTATTCATCACAATTACACAACATTACTTTAATGATTACTTCATTGGCAAAGTGGGCAAACTTATGCAGGAAATGCCAACAATGAACAGTGAGCCATCATCCTCATGTATAAAAAAATAAAAAATATATCTAGGTAGCTTAGTGGGTAAGAGCGTTGTGCCAGTAACCGAAAGGTCGCTGGTTCTAATCCCCGAGCCGACTAGGTGAAAAATCTGTCGATTTGCCCTTGAGCAAGGCACTTAACCCTAATTGCTCCTGTAAGTCGCTCTGGATAAGAGCGTCTGCTAAATGACCAAAAAATAAAAAATAAAATAATAAAAGAAAAGCATTGCAAATTAGATTTTTGTAAAGTTAGAAAAAAAAAATATATATATAATGACAAACCTCCTGGCATTGACAACTTAGATCGAAAGCTACTGAGGACGGTAGATGACTCTATAGCCACTCCTATCTGTCATATATTTAATCTGAGCCTAGAGGAAAGTCTTTGTCCTCAGGCCGGGAGGGAAGCCAAAGTCATTCCACTACCCAAGAGTGGTAAAACTGCCTTTACTGGTTCTAACAGCAGACCTATCAGCTTGCTGCCAGCTCTTAGCACACTGTTGGAAAAAATGGTGTTTGACCAAATACAATGCTACTTCTCTGTAAACAAATTAACTACAGACTTTCAGCATGCTTATCGAGAAGGGCACTCAACATGTACTGCACTGACACAAATGACTGATGATTGGTTGAAATAAATTGATAATAAGAAGATTGTGAGAGCTGTACTGTTAGATTTCAGTGCAGTCTTTGACATTATTGGCCATAACCTGTTGTTGAGAAAACTTGTGTGTTATGGCTTTTCAACCTCTGCCATATCATGGATTCAGAGCTATCCATCTAATAGAACTCAAAGGGTTTTCTTTAATGGAAGCTTCTCCAATGTCAAATGTGTGATGCATGTGTCCATGTATGCTGATGATTCAACCATATACAATGCATTCAGAAAGTCTTCAGACCACTTTCCTTTTTCCACATTTTGTTATGTTACAGCCTTATTCTAAAATTGATTAAATAAATGTTTTCCCTCAATCTACACACAATACACCCATAATGACAACGCGAAAACAGGTTTTTAGAAATGTTTGCACATTTATTCAAAAATAAAAACAGAAATTCCTTATTTACATAAGTATTCAGAGCCTTTGCTATGAGACTCGAAATTGAGCTCAGGTGCATCCTGTTTCCATTGATCATCCTTGAGATGTTTCTACAACTTGATTGGTCCCCATCATTCTTAAATGGAAGTTTGGAACCACAAAGACTCTTCCAAGAGCTGGCCGCCTGGCCAAACTGAGCAATCGGGGGAGAAGGGCCTTGGTCAGGGATGTGACCAAGAACCCGATGGTCACTCTGACAGAGCTCCAGAGTTCCTCTGTGGAGATGGGAGAACCTTCCAGAAGGACACCCATCTCTGCAGCACTCCACCAATAAGGCTTTTATGGTAGAGTGGCCAGATGGAAGCCACTCCTCAGGAAAAGGCATTTAACAGCCCGCTTGGAGTTTGCCAAAAGGCACCTAAAGGACTCTCAGACCATGAGAAACAAGATTCTCTGGTCTGATGAAACCATGATTGAACTCTTTGGCCTGAATGCCAAGCATCACGTTTGGAGGAAACCTGGCACCATCCCTACGGTGAAGCATGGTGGTGGCAGCATCATGCTGTGGGGATGTTTTTCAGCAGTAGGGAGACTAGTCAGGATCGAGGGAAAGATGAACAGAGCAAAGTACAGAGAGATCCTTGATGAAAACCTGCTTCAGAGCTCTCAGGATCTCAGACTGGGGTGAAGCACACAGCCAAGACAACCCAGGAGTGGCTTCGGGACAAATATCTGAATGTCCTTGAGTGGCCCAGCCAGAGCCCGGACTTGAACCCAATCAAACATCTCTGGAGAGACCTGAAAATAGCTGTGCAGCGACACTCCCCATCCAACCTGACAGAGCTTGAGAGGATCTGCAGAGAAGAATTTGAAAAACTCCCCAAATACAGGTGTGTCAAGCTTGTAGCGTCATACCTAAGAAGACTCGAGGCTGTAATCGCTGCCAAAGGTGCTTCAACAAAGTACTGAGTAAAGGGTCTGAATACTTATGTAAATATGATTTCAGGTTAATTATTTATAAAATGTGCAAAAAATTCTAACAACCAGTTTTTGCTTTGTCATTATGGGTTATTGCATGCAGATTGTTGAGGGGAAAACAATTTAATCAATTTTAGAATAAGGCTGTAACGTAACAAAATGTGGAAAAAGTCAAGGGGTCTGAATACTTTCCGAATGCACTGTACGCATCAGCAACCACAGCTAATGAAGTCACTGAAACCCTTAACAAAGAGTTGCAGTCTGTTATGGAATGAGTGGCCAGTAATAAACTGGTCCTGAACATCTGGAAAACTAAGAGCATTGTATTTGGTACAAATCATTCCCTAAGTTCTAGACCTCTGGTAATGAATGGTGTGGCCGTTGAACAAATTGAGGAGACTAAATTACTTGGTGTTACCTTAGATTGTAAACTGTCATGGTCAAAACATATAGATGTAATGGTTGTAAAGATGGGGAGAGGTCTGTCCGTCATAAAGAGATGCTCTGCGTTTTTGACACCACACTCCACAAAGCAAGTCCTGCAGGCTCTAGTTTTATCTTATCTTGGTCAAGTGCTGCAAAGAAAGACCTAGTTAAGCTGCAGCTGGCCCAGAACAGAGCGGCACATCTTGCTCTTCATTGTAATCACAGAGCTAATATTAATACTATGCATGCCAGTCTCTCTTCTTATATACAGTGGGGAAAAAAAGTATTTAGTCAGCCACCAATTGTGCAAGTTCTCTCACTTAAAAAGATGAGAGAGGCCTGTAATTTTCATCATAGGTACACGTCAACAATGACAGACAAATTGAGAGAGAAAAAATCCAGAAAATCACATTGTAGGATTTTTAATGAATTTATCTGCAAATTATGGTGGAAAATAAGTATTTGGTCACCTACAAACAAGCAAGATTTCTGGCTCTCACAGACCTGTAACTTCTTCTTTAAGAGGCTCCTCTGTCCTCCACTCGTTACCTGTATTAATGGCACCTGTTTGAACTTGTTATCAGTATAAAAGACACTTGTCCACAACCTCAAACAGTCACACTCCAAACTCCACTATGGCCAAGACCAAAGAGCTGTCAAAGGACACCAGAAACAAAATTGTAGACCTGCACCAGGCTGGGAAGACTGAATCTGCAATAGGTAAGCAGCTTGGTTTGAAGAAATCAACTGTGGGAGCAATTATTAGGAAATGGAAGACATACAAGACCACTGATAATCTCCCTCGATCTGGGGCTCCACGCAAGATCTCACCCCGTGGGGTCAAAATGATCACAAGAACGGTGAGCAAAAATCCCAGAACCACATGGGGGGACCTAGTGAATGACCTGCAGCGAGCTGGGACCAAAATACAAAGCCTACCATCAGTAACACACTACGCCGCCAGGGACTCAAATCCTGCAGTGCGAGACGTGTCCCCCTGCTTAAGCCAGTACATGTCCAGGCCCGTCTGAAGTTTGCTAGAGTGCATTTGGATGATCCAGAAGAGGATTGGGAGAATGTCATATGGTCAGATGAAACCAAAATATAACTTTTTGGTAAAAACTCAACTCGTCGTGTTTGGAGGACAAAGAATGCTGAGTTGCATCCAAAGAACACCATACCTACTGTGAAGCATGGGGGTGGAAACATCATGCTTTGGGGCTGTTTTTCTGCAAAGGGACCAGGACGACTGATCCGTGTAAAGGAAAGAATGAATGGGGCCATGTATCGTGAGATTTTGAGTGAAAACCTCCTTCCATCAGCAAGGGCATTGAAGATGAAACGTGGCTGGGTCTTTCAGCATGACAATGATCCCAAACACACCGCCCGGGCAACAAAGGAGTGGCTTCGTAAGAAGCATTTCAAGGTTCTGGAGTGGCCTAGCCAGTCTCCAGATCTCAACCCCATAGAAAATCTTTGGAGGGAGTTGAAAGTCCGTGTTGCCCAGCGACAGCCCCAAAACATCACTGCTCTAGAGGAGATCTGCATGGAGGAATGGGCCAAAATACCAGCAACAGTGTGTGAAAACCTTGTGAAGACTTACAGAAAACGTTTGACCTGTGTCATTGCCAACAAAGGGTATATAACAAAGTATTGAGAAACTTTTGTTATTGACCAAATACTTATTTTCCACCATCATTTGCAAATAAATTCATGAAAAATCCTACAATGTGATTTTCTGGAATTTTTTTCCTCATTTTGTCTGTCATAGTTGACGTTGTACCTATGATGAAAATTACAGGCCTCTCTCATCTTTTTAAGTGGGAGAACATGCACAATTGGTGGCTGACTAAATACTTTTTTCCCCCACTGTAGCTCAAGTGAACAGCAAACCTGGTTTCAAAAAACAAATAACGCAACACCTCACGGCACAATGCCTCTCCCCCATGTGACTTACTTGTTGTGTGTATGTACGGACATGTACGTGTAACTGATAGATGCACACACACACTACATGTTCATGTTTTTAAATGTATGTAAATTGTAAAGTATTTCGTCAGTAATGTATTTTTCGTTATATGTCGGGTTCATAATAAATCAAATCAAATAGACTCACTCTTCTTTGACACTGGACAGTGGAGTGACTGGGGTCTCAGGCAGAGCAGCTGTGATGTTAACGGATGGGGCTGGGGCTTCTGAAGGCATCAGAGCCTCACAGGGATCCTCAGACTCCACTTTAATTGTCCTCATCTTCTTCTTTCTCCTCTCCTCCCTCATCTTCCTCTTGGGCAGAGCCAGGTCAAACAGCGCTACATCATAGAAGATACTAGTTAAGAATGTTTCTACACTAGTTGTGCCTTACATTATTCAGAGGATCTAATACAATATAGCTATATACACTACAGGGCCAAAACTATGTGGACACTCCTTCAAATTAGTGGATTTGCTATTTCAGTCACACTCGTTGCTGACAGGTGTATAAAATTGAGCACACAGCCACATTTACATTATTTAGCAGACGCTCTTATCCAGAGCGACTTACAAATTGGACGCAATCTCCATAGACAAACATTGGCAGTAGAATGGCCCGTATTGAAGAGTTCAGTGCCTTTCAACGTGGCACCTTAATAGGATGCAACCTTTCCAAGAAGTCAGCTTGTCAAATTTCTGACCTGCTAGAGCTGCCCCGGTCAACCGTAAGTGCTGTTATTGTGAAGTGGAAATGTCTAGGAGCAACAACGGCTCAGCCGTGAAGTGGTAGGCCACACAAGCTCACAGAACGGGACCGCTGAGTGCTTAAGTGCGAAGCGTGTAGAAATTGTCTGTCCTACATTGCAACACTCACTACCGAGTTCCAAACTGCCTCTGGCAGCAACGTCAGCAAAATAACTTTTCATCGGGAGCTTCATGAAATGGTTTCCATGGCCGAGCAGCCGTACACAAGCTTAAGATCACCATGCGCAATGCCAAGCGTCGGCAGGAGTGGTGTAAAGCTCGCTGCCAATGGACTCTGGAGCAGTGGAAACGTGTTATCTGCAGTCCGACGGATGAATCTGAGTTTGGCGGATGCCAGGAGGACGCTACCTGCCCCAATGCATAGTGCCAACGGTAAAGTTTGGTGGAGGAGGAATAATGGTCTGGGGCTGTTTTTCATGGTTAGGGCTAGGCCCCTTAGTTCCAATGAAGGGAAATCTTAACACTACAGCATACAATGACATTCTAGATGATTCTGTGCTTCCAACGCTGTGGCAACAGTTTGTTTCAGCATGACAATGCCCCCGTGCACAAAGCGAGGTCCATACAGAAATGGTTTGTCGAGATCGGTGTGGAAGAACTTGACTGGCCTGCACAGAGCCCTGACCTCAACCCCATCGAACACCTTTGGGATCAATTGGAACGCCGACTGCGAGCCAGGCCTAATCACCCAACATAAGTGCCCGACCTCACTAATGCTATTGTGGCTGAATGGAAGCAAGTCCCCACAGCAATGTTCCAACATCTAGTGGAAATCTTTCCTAGAAGAGTGAAGACTGTTATAGCAGTAAAGGGAGGACCAACTCCATATCAATGCCCATGAACTTGGAATGACATGTTCGACGAGCAGGTGTCCACATACTTTCGCTTTATGATTATGATTTTGGTATTTTGGTCATGGACTTGACTTGTACTCACCCATCATGGAGCCTTTTCGACCTATGTTCACTCTAGACATCATGTCACCCAGGCGGATGTCAGAAGTCATCAAGTCTGGATGGTCCTGTGCAAACAGAATGACTAGGATTAGGATACAAGGAAATGTTGTAGAAGATGATATTAGGTAGATAGTGTCCCCCATTTCCAATCACACCTTGATTTTGTGGACAGCAGAATTCTGTGATGTTTTTGTGAATGGATAGAAGAAACTAACCGGTTGTCGTCTCCTCTTCTCTCTATGTCTCCGTAGCATGGCTCTCATGTCCTTCTCTCCCAGCTCTGGCTTATCTGTGTGAGCAGACACCACATATCTTCAGTCACTATTTCTGCATAGTCTTTACGTACATTACAGCAGTAGAGCTGGGAATTGCCAGGGACCTCACGATACGATATTATCACGATACTTTGGTGCTGATACGAAATGTATTGTGATTCTCACAATTCTATATGTATTGCGATTCGATACTGCGATTTTATTACGATTTAATGTTCCAAACATATTGCTCACTATATGTCTGCTGCAGTGAGACAGAACATAAGAACATGTGTTTTGATCAGTCATGCAACTTAAAGTGCTGAAAACTATTGAAAAAGAAGATGGAGAACAAGCTATAGGATGAAAAATAGATGAGTTTTGGCACACGTACAGCTGACTAGCGCAAGCTAGTGCTATCTAGCGAAATCGATACTTAGAGTCAAAGTATCTACACTACCGGTCAAAAGTTTTAGAACACCTACTCATTCAAGGGTTTTTCTTTATTTAAAAAAAACTATTTTCTACATTGTAGAACAATAGTGAAGACATCAAAACTATGAAATAACACATACGGAATCATGTAGTAACCAAAAAAGTGTTAAAACAAATAAAAATATATTTTATATTTCAGATTCTTCAAATAGCCACCCTTTGCCTTGATGACAGCTTTGCACACTCTTGGCATTCTCTCAACCAGCTTCACCTGGAATGCTTTTCCAACCGTCTTGAAGGAGTTCCCACATATGCTGAGCACTTGTTGGCTGCTTTTCCTTCACCCTGCGGTCCGACTCATCCCAAACCATCTCAATTTGGTTGATGTTGGGGGACTGTGGAGGCCAGGTCATCTGATGCAGCACTCCATCACTCTCCTTCTTGGTAAAATAGCCCTTACACAGCCTGGAGGTGTGTTGGGTCATTGTCCTGTTGAAAAACAAATGATAGTCCCACTAATCCCAAACCAGATGGGATGGCGTATCGCTGTAGAATGCTGTGGTAGCCATGCTGGTTAAGTGTGCCTTGAATTCAAAATAAATCACAAACAGTGTCACCAGCAAAGCACCCCCACACCATAACACCTCCTCCACCATGCTTTACGGTGGGAAATACACATGCGGAGATCATCCGTTTCACCCACACCGCGTCTCACAAAGACACAGCGGTTGGAACCAGAAATCTCAAATTTGGACTCCAGACCAAAGGACACATTTCCACCGGTCTAATGTCCATTGCTCGTGTTTCTTCGCCCAAGCAAGTGTCTTCTTCTTATTGGTGTCCTTTAGTAGTGGTGTCTTTGAAGTAATTTGACCAATAAGGCCTGATTCACACAGTCTCCTCTGAACAGTTGATGTTGAGATGTGTCTGATACTTGAACTCTGTGAAGCATTTACTTGGGCTGCAATTTCTGAGGCTGGTAACTCTAATGAACGTATCCTCTGCAGCAGAGGTAACTGAGTCTTCTATTCCTGTGGCGGTCCTCATGAGAGCCAGTTTCATCATAGCACTTGATGGTTTTTGCGACTGCACTTGAAGAAACTTTCAAAGTTCTTGAAATGTTCCGGATTGACTTACCTTCATGTCTTAAAGTAATGATGGACTGTTGTTTCTCATTTCTTATTTGAGCTGTTCTTGCCATAATATGGACTTGTTTTTTTACCAAATAGGGCTATCTTCTGTATATCCCCCCACCTTGTCACAACACAACTGATTAGCTCAAACGCATTAAGAAGGAAAGAAATTCCACAAATTAACTTTTAAGAAGGCACACCTGTTAATTGAACTGCATTCCAGGTGACTACCTCATGCAGCTGGTTGAGAGAATGCCAAGAGTGTACAAAGCGGTCATCAAGGCAAAGAGTGGCTATTTGAAGAATCTCAAATATAAAATATATTTTGATTTGTTTAACACTTTTTTGGTAACTACATGATTTTATATGTGTTATTTCCTAGTTTTGATGTCTTCACTATTATTCTACAATGTAGAAAATAGTAAAAATAAAGAAAACCCTTGAATGAGTAGGTGTTCTAAAACTTTTGACCGGTAGTGTATATAATATCGTCCAAAACAATATTGCGATATGTAACCATCAATTTTTTTCACAATCATTATACAGTATCTCTATAGATATACTGTAACTGACCGGTGGTCTTCATGTCCTGGGTGGAGAGACTGGGCAGAACCCTAACAGAAACTGTGGGCGTTGGAGAGGAAGGAGATTGAGGAGTTGGCTGCCAATAGGCTGTATCTGCAAACACAACGCAAAGGACAACTATGTGAAATAGAAAACATTGAAAGATGAACTCTGACACTTATTGAATGCTGCTAAATGCAATTAAAATATCAACAATCTAGGCTGATGAAAGCAGACTCACCATCATCGTCAGATGAGGCATTGCTGTCTCCACACTCAGTTTTAACTTCCCTCAGTATCCGGCACACTCTTCCTCTGACCCTCTGTTCCTGCACCTCACCATGTGTCTGGGTGGGATACTTTCTGTTCACCGCAATGTCAGGGCCACTGCGGACTGCCAACTCCAGTAGTTCCTAAACACACAGAAATGATATAACTGAACATACTGAGGAAGGCCATTCACCTTGTGCTTGAGACTGAAGCTTGAAGATATCTGCCATACCTTTCTAGAGACCAGGATCTGTTTGAGGAGTTTGTGGTAGTACTGCTGCAACGAGTTCAGCTGGCGTTTTTTCTGGGACTTGGCACACAGCTGTCTGTACTTAACCACTTCTGGATTAAAATGGCCATCTGGGGAGAGCACAGTGGGACATGATATCACTGATATGCCATACATAGTCCAGAAACCTACTCAAAATTAAGCTGTTTGAGAGAGGTGGAGTGTTACCTTGGAACAGTTTCTGTGCAAGGTGCAAGGGGTTTCCGAAGCAGAAGTTCTGTTTGTTGAAGAGTTCGCTGATGGTGCTGTCCTGCTCAGTAGTGTTGTCTTCTGGAAAGTGTGGTAACAGTTGACGGAGATGCTGTCTCTGGTCATCTGTCAGTACTTCAGACCAGGTACTTTCACTCAGCACAGAGAAGAAGATTTCAGGCTGTTCGCCAAAACAAATAACCAAAAAATATATAAACAGAACTGTAAATGTAACAATCGATATACAGTAAACCTATATATATATATATATATATATATATACAGTCTATGCAGAATACACAAATGATAAACAGCATATGATAAAGTTAACACAGAAATCAACGCAGTGTGCTATTATTAGCTACTCACATCCTCAAGCAGGTCTTCTGGAAGACTCACTTGACAGTTTCCCAACATGCACTCTTCAGTGATGCACCCATCATTGCCCTCCCCTGAGTCCAGGGGGTCGGTCAGCATGTGATCAAGGACATCCATTCTGAACTTCCTTCACAACCTGAAAAGTTCAGAATGAATTGGGCGGCAGGTAGCTTAGTGGGTAAGAGCGTTGTGCCAGTAACCGAAAGGTCGCTGGTTCTAATCCCCGAGCCAACTAGGTGAAAAATCTGTCGATGTGCCCTTAAGCAAGGCACTTAACCCTAATTGCTCATGTAAATCGCTCTGGATAAGAGCGTTTGCTAAATTACGTTAATGTAATTGCATTGGTAGCTACAGTGGCTATCTAACTAAAAACACGAGTCCATTGGCATTGATAGCTAGCTAAGATACGGTAAAATAGAACAGTTTAGTCTACATTTCAACAGAAAACATTATCTAGCTGGCTAACTAGATATTTCATGGATGACAAACAAACCAAAAACACATGTCAACGCGAGCTAGCTAAATTATGCTAGCCAGCTAGCTAAGGCAAGATAACTGACAGCAGCAAAATTACGATTCAACGTGTGCTTAAACAATATATAACTAGTTTAACTAACAAAGACAAAATTCAACGAATTTACCTGAAAATAGAGCACACTGACATCGGATAAAAGAGTCAGAGGGGAATCATAACAACGACGTACCGATACTATTTCCGTTCCGTCCGCTAAATCTACCGTGAGTACTTCCAATTTCCTAGATCCTGGTTGCATTCGATGCACGAAATATTCAGCGATGATTAAAACAAGTTATTTAGATAATACACAACTAAAACAAGTTCTTTAGACAATACACAACAAAAGCAATTTCACTTCAGACTCATTTCCCCAATCATACAGGATATTGTCATTTAATATGAAATCAGGCTTGACATAGAATGACACTGAACAATTGCACATTGTGGGAGTGCCAATCTCAATTTTTCAGAGATGGTGAAATTACTGTGGAGTACATTACAATAATCACAAACCACAAACTCAAGTAAAACCAAAGGTTGTCAGGACCCTGAAATTACACAAATACCCTTGTACAAGTCTTTGTGGGGTTGTTACTAGGCCTTTGTGTATTACAAGCTCAGCTTGACACTCACACAACACACACATTTAAAATGATCAATACAAATTTGCTAAACTGTACACAAGAAAAAGAATCTAACTTACATACCACAACTAATTCATTATATACTGTATGCACCAGAATGGAATGGATACATAGAACAGAGTACATAGGCTGCGTTAAAAAAAGGCAGCCCAATTCTGATATTTTTCCACTTTGACCAATCAGATCTTTTCATATCATATATTTTTCAGATCTGATTGGTCAAAAGACCAACTAGTGGAAAAAAGATCTGTGTAATGCAGCCATAGTAATGTTAACATCACTTGCTAAAATGTGTACTAGGAGCATTGAGATGTACTTTAAACGTATTTATAAACCTAGAAAAGGTCCAAGCAACCAACCATATTGACATACTATAAACCAGAAATATATTACACACTAAACGCTCTATGACATTTACATATTGAATACAAATTTAAATCTGGCTGGGGAAGAAAATATACAAATCAATGAACTGAGTATAAAATCACAAAAATACCTTCATTCAAATCTAAAATGTTTGTGTAAAAGTATAGCTCCCTGAATATGTAAAATATTTTCCTTGACCATTGAAAACATCCCAGAGTGGGCCCTGTTCAATCAAACCATTAACTGAGTACCCAGGACAGTCATTTTTAGTCATATGGTATCTCAGAAACCCAGTCACCTGTTTTGATTGAAAAGGACCCTAAATCTCAGAGCATGTTAGACAGTTTAAAAAAAATCTGGTACACAAGCTGTCAGGTTTACTGAGCTACAGCTATCTGAAGATCAATTAAAAAATAAATATAAACAGGCAATGAAAACATATCCTAAAAACCCCCACCTTACATTAACAAAACACTATATAAAAAGACAAAGACATATGCGATTATAATAATCCACAAAACTTAATATAACATAACTTTTGGATAAACAAACTATTGCCTAGGCAATGTAAGGATAAGGATTCTAACACATGAACAAAGCAAAAGGGAATGCCTACAAGGTCACAAAAGCTGGCAATTTAGTGCACTTGGGAGCAAAAATCCATCTTTAACCTGCAACCAATGCTTGCTATATGCAATTAATGCTTGCTAAATATTTATTTAAGCAAGATAAAACCACAGCTAATGTAATGCCCAGTCTATTTTTAAGTAAGTGTATGTATAAGTATGTAAGAATAGCATTTTCTTTATAAAGCAATACTTTTGGATAGAACCAAACACCACGTATAAGTATAAAATAATGAAAACCCCTTGTTGAGTCTTGTAGAGTCCCAGTCGTCACATTGTATGTCTACCAAGGTTATTATAGTTTTGTGTTGGTATATTTGTAAAAATTTGAAATTCAGTTTAGTTTCAGTTCGTTTTCAGACCTGATTTGTATTTTTTTTTTAAATATACACTACTATTCAAAAGTTTGGGGTCACTTAGAAATGTCTTTGATTTCAAAAGAAAAGCAATTTTCTAGTCCATTTAAATAACATCGAATTGATCAGAAATACAGTGTAGACATTGTTAATGTTGTAAATATCTTCAGTTTCTTGGCAATTTCTCGCATGGAATAGCCTTCATTTCTCAGAACAAGAATAGACTGACGGGTTTCAGAAGAAAGTTATTTGTTTCTGGCCATTTTGAGCCTGTAATCGAACCCTCAATTGCTGATGCTCCAGATACTCAACTAGTCTCAAGAAGGACAGTTTTATTGCTTCTTTAATCAGCACAACAGTTTTCAGCTGTGCTAACATAATTGCATAAGGGTTTTCTAATGATCAATTAGCCTTTTAAAATGATAAACTTGGATTAGCAAACACAACACGCCATTGGAACACAGGACTGATGGTTGCTGATAATGGGCCTCTGTACGCCTATGTAGATATTCCATTAAAAATCAGCCATTTCCAGCTACAATAGCCATTTACAACATGAACAATGTCTACACTGTATTTCTGATCAATTTGATGTTATTTTAATGGACAAAAAAAATTGCTTTTCTTTCTAAAACAAGGACATTTCTAAGTGACCCCAAACTTTTGAACGGTAGTGTATATGTAGTTTTTATATTATTTCGTTTTAGTGTTAGGGACAAAGCATTCGTGGGATGCTAGGAGCCATTTGGGTTGTATAGTTTGTTGTTTTTGGGATGTCACTTCTTACCACTGAAGGGCAGTTATACACAAGGTGATGGGTCAGCTCATAGGCTAGGTTAGGTTTACATTATAAAGTCAATCTCAATGTGACTTGGATTTAAAAGTAATAGAGCTGAGACTGATGAACAAAAATAAGGTGGAAGGAAACTCTCTACCCGATATTTACACCAATCCAATGCTTTTTAAAAACTTAGTAGTACATGTAAGAGGAATCAAGTTAGCTACCTAGAATATGTTTCCCCTGTTAGCTAATGATAGCTAGGGATAGTGATACACAAACTAGGCCTATTTGAAACGTCACCATCTCCTGGCAGCATTTACCCACCAGATTCAGTAGCTTAAAAAAGCTTGACAACTTTTTACATTGACATTTTAGTCATTTAGCAGACGCTCTTTTCCAGAGCGACTTGCAGTATTGAGTGCATACATCTGTCAGTTATCAGTTGCAGCCTTCATCCGCCATTGAACTCCATTAAAAACCCCATTGAAAACCCAATTACAAGTTGAGAAAAAACCCAAAACTGACTAGAATCACTACTCTCGGCGGGTCTGACCTAGAGTATGTGGACAACTACAAATACCTAGGTGTCTGGTTAGACTGTAAACTCTCCTTCCAGACTCACATTAAGCATCTCCGATCAAAAGTTAGCTGCCAAACATGCCCTCGTAAAACTGACTATTCTACCGATCCTTGACTTCGGCGATGTCATTTACAAAATAGCCTCTAACACTCTACTCAGCAAATTGGATGTAGTCTATCACAGTGCCATCCGTTTTGTCACCAAAGCCCCATATACTACCCACCATTGTGACCTGTACGCTCTTGTTGGCTGGTCCTCACTACATATTTGTTGCCAAACCCACTGGCTCCAGGTCATCTATAAATCACTGCTAGGCAAATCCCCGCCTTATCTTAGCTCATTGGTCACCTTAGCAACACCCACCTGTAGTATGCGCTCCAGCAGGTATATCTCACTGGTCATCCCCAAAGCTAACACCTCCTTTGGCCGCCATTCCTTCCATTTCTCTGCTGCCAATGACTGGAACGAACTGCAAAAATCTCTGAAGCTGGAGACTCTTATCTCCATCACTAACTTTAAGCATCAGTTGTCAGAGCACCTTACCGATCACTGCACCTGTACACAGCCCATCTGAAATTATCCCACCCAACTACCTCATCCCTATATTGTTATTTATTTTGCTCATTTGCACCCTAGTATCTCTATTTGCACATCATCTTTTGCATATCTATCATTCCAGTGTTAATACAAAATTGTAACTATTTTGCACTATGGCCTATTTATTGCCTTACCTCCATAACTTACTACATTCGCACACACTGTATATATATTTTCTGTTTGTATTTTTGACTTTATGTTTTGTTTACCCCGTATGTAACTCTGTGTTGTTGTTTTTATCGCACTGCTTTGCTTTATCTTGGCCAGGTCGCAGTTGTAAATGATAACTTGTTCTCAACTGGCTTACCTGGTTAAATAAAGGTGGGGGGAAAAAATAAAAAATTATTCATGAGGGTTTTTGTTTAATTTTAGTTAGTTTTGGAGTCAAAAATAATAGTTTCAGTATAGTTTTAGTTTTTTTAAACAAGTTTGTTAATTATTTAATTTCAGTTTACTAAATCGTTTTTTCAAGATTCGTTTTCGTTTCTGCATTAGTTGACTATAATAACCTTAATGCATACCAATCAAGGCCTGAGGATTTTAAGAACTTGCTCAGGCTTGACAACCCGGTTTCCCACTCAGCTACACCCTGGTCTTCTCAGCTACACCCCGGTCTTCTCAGCTACACCCTGGTCTTCTCAGCTACACCCTGATCTTCTCAGCTACACCCTGGTCTTCTCAGCTACACCCCGGTCTTCTCAGCTACACCCCGGTCTTCTGCTTTATCCAGTCCCTGTATTTGGTGACGTGGGTGTAGACGCCAGGTTTGTTCCTGCGGGCACAGCCGTCCCCCCAGCTCACCACTCCGGCCAAGAAGAAACGTCCACTGTGCCCCATGGAGGATAACGGACCTCCAGAGTCTCCCTGTCAGAAGGAGCAGGGCAAAGACAGCATGATGATGATAACGTAAAGAGGGGGAAAGATAAATATGCAACAAGAAAGATTGTCTAGCTGCTGGGTGGGTTACCTGACAGGCATCTACTCCTCCATCCAGTACACCAGCACATAACATGTTGGAAGTCGTCTGTCCTTCCATCAGGGTGTTACACACTGTGCCATTAATGATACGGACCTCTGCCTTCTGCAACATTGATGCCTCGAAACCTGGGATAGTGAATGACACTCAGTCAGCATCAACAGTAGTCAGAGGTTAAAACAAGAAGAAATGGGGCCTCCCGAGTGGCGCAGCGGTCTAAGGCACTGCAGTGCTTGAGGCGTCACAACAGATCCGGGTTCGATCCCAGGCTGTGTCGCAGCCGGCCGTGACCAGGAGACCCATAAGGCGACGCGCAATTGGCCTAGCGTCGTCCGGGTTAGGGGAGGGTTTGGCCGGCCGGGATGTCATTGTCCCATCGCGCTCTAGCGACTCCTGTGGCGGGCCGGGCGCATGCACGCTGACACGGTCGCCAGTTCTAAGGTGTTTCCTCCGACACATTGGTGCGGCTGGCTTCCGGGTTAAGCAAGCAGTGTGTCAAGAAGCAGTGCGGTTTGGCAGGGTCATGTTTCTGAGGACGAGTGGCTCTCGACCTTCGCCTCTCCGAGTCCGTACAGGAGTTGCAGCGATGGGACAAGACTGTAACTACCAATTGGATATCACGAAATTGGGGAGAGAAATTATAATAATAATAATAATAGCAGAGGAAATGTGAAGTGTATTACTACAGAACAAGGTGGGGGAAACTACTGCAGCTATACACCGGATTCTACTCACCCCCCTCTCTGGTGGTCCCCCAGCCAGTGATCCACACTGGCTTGCCAGCAGGGAAGTCATGCGTGGCTGTGGGAAGACAGATTGGCCAGATGTTCTGGTTGAGTGTGACAGGACTGTCCAGTTCCATAAGAGCTATGTCATTGTCGTAGGTATGGGCTTGGTAGCCAGGGTGGGGGATGATCTGTTTCAGGTTCTTCTTCACCGTCCATTTGTTAGTCTGACTCTGAACATGAAGCCCAAGGTATGCTTCCCATTGTTGAGGTTGAGAATACCTGTTGGAACACACACTCTTAGTTCACAGATTTTGAAAGCTGAACTGAAAACAGGAGCGGTTACAGGGAACAGTCCTTAGAGCAGTAAATAAAGTGGGAAAACGTACAGTGGTGTGAATAAAACGTAGTAAGAGTAGGAACAATAAAGTGAGTACGTACTTGACTTTGACGTCATCCTGGACACAGTGGGCAGCAGTGACGAGCCAGCGGTCGTTGATAACTGAGGCTCCACACACATGTTTAGACCCTCGGATGTGAAGGCTAACCTGCCAGGGCCACTCCCCCTCAATGGAGGCCTGCCCACCCACAATACGGGAGTGTCTGTAAGGCCGTATACCACACTCTGCACACAGACACACGCACAAACAAATCTGCAAATTAATGAGGACCACAATGGAAACAAGTCTGACTTTTTGTCTACATAATCCTCTGGGATTTTGGTACATGTATTGGTTGCCTGTTGTTTTAAACTGTCAAATAAAATTACATTAAAATGACATTCAGAAGTCAGGGTAATGGTGGTAAAAGTTGGTCTGATGATGTAGAGGCAGCTGTGTGAGATATCTAAACTTACGACAGTTTGCCTCGTCTGAGCCATCATCACAGTCCTCTTCTTCATCGCACTCTGGGTTCAGCTTGCTAATGCACATGTTGTTCTTACACTTGTAAGTATACTCTGAGCATTGCAGGACTAGAGCTGGACACAAGGAGATGAGGAGTCAGTCACACAAAGGTCAAAGGTCATGATTATATTGGTAGCCAGTTGTATTCTACTACAACTATTTCTCTTTGGATACGTACATTTTGCGCACTTTGATTCATCAGAGCCGTCAGCACAGTCAGCACGACCATCACATTTCAGTCTCTCTGAGATACAGCTTCCATTCCGGCAGGAAAACTCTCCTGATTTACAACTCCCTGCAGAGAGGACATAGGAAACAACATTCAGTAACACACAGTGGTAACAATGATGATATAATCTTATGTGTGACCTCTCCACTGATGTATGTTGTTGACTTACCACAGTTTTCCTCGTCTGTGCTGTCCCCACAGTCATTGACGCCATCACACTGCCAGAACTTGACTTTACACAGACCATTTCTACATTTGATTTGATCTGGCTCACACTCTGTACAGAGACAAGACATCAACTTAGATCACATAATAATTTGGAGGTAGCCTAATCTCTCTTGTAGAGTCAAATCAAGTATCCGTTTACGAAGGTGACTTTATAAACATAAGCACACTCAGACGGAAACACTTGAGAAGAATAGACATGTTATAATGTAGTTATTGGTCTGTAATCACTGCAAATCTGTACTCACAACAGGTTTTAAAGTATACACTGTAGATGTTAGTTTAAGAAAAAACTGTGTACTGATAACAATGTTTCTGGCTTACGAGTAGTTGGCACAAAGGCTTCAAACTCAGCAGTGAAACCTGAATCCACATAGGACATGTCCGAGTTAAATATCACCACTATCTTGTTGACTGTGTTGGTGACCACAGTGCTGTAGGGCTTATCTCCACATAGCCTGCAACACAGAATGTCAAAAAGAGGCAAAGATCAGCAATGTGCATCAATTAGGGACATTGCTGATATTAATAGTACATTCTTCAAAATTCATAACGGATATACTGACACCAAGAAGATACCATGACTCACTTTTCACTGTTGACCTCTACATAGTCCTTAGGACAATTATTATTGTTCTGTCCTGGCTCAGACATCAACAGCTTGTTGAACTGCACCTTGACAGACTTCCCTTCTGGGACCTGAAAGAGAATAGAATGGTAGGTTGAAGTTAAAATATACAGATTCTCACTCTATAAGGGCAGCAGCAGCAGGCTCCACAACAAAAATGGAACATTTGTTTACCTCAATGTCCCAGACACACTTGGTGAGAGGTGGGTAATGGGAGGGAAAGTTTGGAGATGTGAAGGTGCCATTAAGTCCTGATAATTTACCACCACAATCTACACAGAAAGAGAAACAGATCATGAGTATCATGACCATTGGGGACACAACATGATATTCATTCCACACCCCATGATCATCCTAATAGTAGCTGCACCTTGGCTCTTGAGGGGAACCTGAGAGTAGGTGGCTCTGAAGCCAGGGTAGTTCTTCTCCTTGTTGGTTACCAGTGTCAGCAGCATGACGTTTCCAGAGGAAATGAACGACAGAGGCTCATTGCGAGTGTAATATCCACATTTCCTGGACAGAGATCAACACATGATTTAACTGAGGCAGACAATTGCACTTGGATGGAACTCATGAGTCACGAGGCAGGAATCTGAAGGAAATATCAGTGGGAAAATGTTGACTATGTTTCTTGTCTCCACTTTCTCTTGATCCTAAAAGTACTGTACAACTCCTTACTACTCACTCTGCCATGACACGCTGCTCCAATGGCACCAGGGAGTCATACACCTTGATGAAGTCGTTCTGACAGTCACCCTCTAAGCTGAAGGTGTCAAACTCCAGTTTAATCCTGTAGCCTCGGTCAGCATGTAGTCTCCACGCTACGTATGTGTTTGGAGGGTATGGAGAATCAGGAAAGCCAGGTGACTGTAATGTGGCCGTGTTATTCTCACTGATGTGATAGGAATAGGTTTGGGGGGCTGAGAAACGGACAGACAAATATAGTAGACAAGCTCAGTGAGATGCATTTTGACGGCCTGTAGCTCAATTGGTAGAGCATGGCGCTTGTAACGCCAGGGTAGTGGGTTCAATCCCCGGGACCACCCATACGTAAAAATGTATGCGCACATGACTGTAAGTCGCTTTGGATAAAAGCGTCTGCTAAATGGCATATTATATTATATATTATTATAATAGTTGAAACCATAACAGCGAATGTTGTTTCTCACCATTCAATATGGCGTTTGTCATACGTGCATCCAGAGCTGTGGAATTGAGACACATATAAGACAGTAGCATGGAGCAAATAAAACAAATCTGGTCTGATCTTTAACAGCTCTTTTTTTTATCCTTTGGATAGAGACTGTGAAAGAAATGACTAAAAAAGCTCCTATTAACATAGGCTATAATAGGGATGCATACAAGAGTATAGGTACCTTCACATCCCAAGGCTGAGTGATATGAACCATTTACTGTACCTCCAGACATCACATTGTTGATGAGCAGGGAGCTGGTCGGCCGGCGACCCATCCCCATCCTCCCCTTCGGACTTCCCTCCATCGGATCCATGGAGACAATAGCTTCATCCACTGCAGACTTACGACCGATCGGTACATCAAACTCAGACAGGTAGTAGGCCACTACATTGTCCTCACTCCCTCCGTTGCCTTCACTACAGTGGAAAGACACATTGTGATTTAGAATAAGCAGCAAGAAAACATAACAATTGTGGGTTGAATTGAAACAAATGTACTGTCTGCTACCCTTTGTTGTAATGTCTTTATAATGTCATCAACTTTAGGTAAGCAACCATAACTATCTGTGTATTTCAAAGTGACCTTAAGGGAGTGGTTAAATGGGGAACTAATACCTGAAGGCTTGCACTGTGGATCCCACTAAATATTTATCCAGATCTTTATGTTTAGAGTAGATCAGCTTCAGCTGAAAAGCAGCAAGATAAAACATGTTATTGTAGCTACCAGGACCTGCTCTAAATCATAGAGAAGGTGATAAAGTAGAAACAACAGAAAACAGCAGACACACAAATACTTTTTTCAACAGCCATTTAGCAACGTGTGGTTTTAGTGTAGAGGACTCCTAAAGATACAGATCCTCATCATCCTGTCTTACCTGCTGTGACACCTGCATGGCCAGTTGTTTGAACTCATTGCTGTTGGGGTTGTCGTAGGAATCTATAAATTTTTGGTTGGTGATACTCATAGAGCCAATGTACATCTTTTTCAATCTCACCTCTCCTCTACGCACTGCAAAATAAGAGAGGGACAGGAGTGTGGACCAGAATAAGTATACTAATGGGACCACAATAAGTATACTAATGGGACCAGAATAAGTATACTACTGGGACCAGAATAATTATACTAATGAGGCCAGAATAAGTATACCAATGGGACCAGAATAAGTATACTACTGGGACCAGAATAAGTATACTACTGGGACCAGAATAAGTATACTACTGGGACCAGAATAATTATACTAATGAAGCCAGAATAAGTATACCAATGGGACCAGAATAATTATACTAATGAGGCCAGAATAATTATACTAATGAGGCCAGAATATGTATACTAATGAGGCCAGAATAAGTATACCAATGGGACCAGAATAATTATACTAATGAGGCCAGAATAATTATACTAATGAGGCCAGAATAAGTATACCAATGGGACCAGAATAAGTATACTACTGGGACCAGAATAAGTATACTACTGGGACCAGAATAAGTATACTACTGGGACCAGAATAATTATACTAATGAAGCCAGAATAAGTATACCAATGGGACCAGAATAATTATACTAATGAGGCCAGAATAATTATACCAATGAGGCCAGAATAATTATACTAATGAGGCCAGAATAAGTATACTACTGGGACCAGAATAATTATACTAATGAGGCCAGAATAAGTATACCAATGGGACCAGAATAAGTATACTACTGGGACCAGAATAAGTATACTACTGGGACCAGAATAAGTATACTAATGAGGCCAGAATAAGTACACTACTGGGACCAGAATAAGTATACTACTGGGACCAGAATAAGTATACTAATGAGGCCAGAGAAAGTATACTAATGGCACCAGAATAAGTATACTACTGGGACCAGAATAAGTATACTAATGAGGCCAGAGAAAGTATACTAATGGTACCAGAATAAGTATATTAATGGGACCAGAATAAGTATACTACTGGGACCAGAATAAGTATATTAATGGGACCAGAATAAGTATACTACTGGGACCAGAATAAGTATACTACTGGGACCAGAATAAGTATACTAATGGGTAATGGCTCTATAGGGGTTGAGTGAGGGTGGACAATGTACTCACAGTGGAAATGCCAAACCAGCAGGCCTGTCGTGAGCGCAATGACTGCTGCCAATCCCACGAGGCCAATCCCAACAAAAAGTGTTTTATTCCCTCTATTTTTCTCCAGCTTCTTGGTGTCTGGGGCTGGCAAGAATGTGACAGAATTTTCCCAGTCATCATCCTACAAGTGAGAAAATAATGTTATTTTACTTGCATTTCATTTCAACATAAACATGTCAGTGCTCATGACAATGGCAGCAAAAAAACATGGAGAAATGTCTCCCTAGATAGTAGTTGGGTTTATATCGACAGCACATTCAATCAATCTATGACAACATGAATGTACTAACCTGTCAAATGATCTGTCCTTAGGTGTGTTATCAGCTTCCATATTACTACTTATGGTGCCTTCATAACGCAGTTATATCAATTGTTACTGCAATTGAATTAACCAGTGCAAGTCAAGTCCTGTCTGATTCAACAACTACTACATTTTCCAACAACCACACCCTACTTGAATGTATCAGTTATAGACTACTCGAGTGTCTAAAGAGCCATACCCTTTTGACAAATTGTCTCACATGCAGCCTATGCCATATGATCTACCAGGCATTCCATTTCAAAGGGAGCAGCACTGAGAGGAATGCTGCTTACATAATACACTGAGTATACAAAACATAAAGGACACCTGCTCTTTCCATGACATAGACTGACCAGGTGAATTCAGGTGAAAGCTATGATCCCTTATTGATGTCAGTTGTTAAATCCACTTCAATCAGTGTAGATGAAGGGGAGGAGACAGGTTAAAGAAGGATTTTTAAGCCTTGAGACAATTGAGACATGGATTGTGTATGTGTGCCATTCAGAGGGGCAAGACAAAAGATTTAAGTGCCTTTGAACGGGGTATGGTAGTAGGTGCCAGGCGCACCGGTTTGAGTGAGTCAAGAACTGCAATGCTTCTGGGTTTTTCACGCTCAACAGTTTCCCATGTGTATCAAGAATGATCCACCAACCAAAGGACATCCAGCCAACTTGACACAACTGTGGGAAGCATTGGAGTCAACTTGGGACAGCATCCCTGTGGAACACTTTCGACACCTTGTAGAGTCCAAGCCCCGATGAATTGAGGCTGTTCTGATGGCAAAAGGAGGTGCAACTCAATAGTGGAGTGAAGTCCACGGGGTTCCTTACAAATTCTTCCAGCCGCTTATTTATTTGGAAGAGACACGACTGAACTACAACTTCCGTTTAAGAAGAAAACAGAACTCAACAGTATTTGGAGTACATGTTTTTGTTGCTTTTCTGTTACTTTTTCAACAGAATCGCTGCAATGAATACACCCCTGGTTTCCACTCTAGAAATACACTGACATTGTACGAATGTTTTGTGCAGTCAGTGTATTTCTAGAGTGGAAACCAGGGGTGTATTCACCCAAATATATTAAAATTACACATAGCCTACATTTGATTATGTTTATCAAGTGTGCTGAGGTGGAGGAGGTGGACTTTGCTGGCTGGATGTGTAAAACCATGGGCCTCAACCAACCCAGCACCCCCACCCGCGTCACAGAATGAACAGCCCAACGCCAAGCTGCTTCCCACATTAGGATCCCTGGTGTCTCACTTTCACACACACACACACACTTTGGCACCTGTTTCGTCTTGCTCTTAAAGGTTTCAGCACTCTCTCTAAAGTACACTTATCATCAACAGGGCCCATTGACTCATTGTATGACCACAGATTTCCCATGCCAGTGTCAGGGTGGATCTACACACAAGTCATGCTCTTTTTCTCCAATCATCATGTTAACGAGAAGGTACAAAGCATGAAAGGGCTGCCAGGTTATAATTTAATTAATTGCCATTGTTATCATCTTACCACATTTGTATTGTGAACTCCTGTAGCTCAATTGGTAGAGCATGGCGCTTGCAACGCCAGGGTTGTGGGTTCGATTCCCACGGGGGGGGCAGTATGAAAAATGTATGCACTAACTGTAAGTCGCTCTGGATAAGAGCGTCTGCTAAAATGACTAAAATGTTTTAAAAAATTGATGAAACGTGCTATGATGAATTGCTTAGATTAGAGAAAATCGATAACATAACAACTGTATTAGTTACAGTACAATACCTGCGTTTTCGGGGTGAACTTCGTCCCAGAATCCATAACAGAAGAACGTCACGTGTGGAAATTGACAGATATTTGATTTCACTGTCCTTTAAAATGTTATTTATTTTTTCAGTTTCGGTCAAATTCTACAAGCCTTGAGAATGATTATCGACAGCCTCGGTCCATTGTCTTCAATATTACGGCGACAGGTGTCTCGCAGGTAGATCCACACCAGTCATTACGAATAGGTTGTCATTTCCCCCCGTTAGAAAGTATTCTGAAGGATATCAAAACAACCGAAAAGTTAATTAATTTCGATAGTAATTTGTGTTTATTTAAAAAGTCGATAGTATGCCTATTGTGGACAGATCCAAGCGACAGAAACCAAGCCGCCTATCCATTCGACTTCCTGTGTACAGGTGATATACTGAAAGGTGGGGGAGAAGACGACTGACTGAATAGAGAGGAACAAGGAAATAAAACCTGTGGCACACATTCTGCTCATCCATAGGTTACTATTAAAATCCTGATGTCTTCAGTTTAGACCACCCTATCCTGCTCATAGTTTTGTATCCTGTAATATTTGTCAATTTTGAAACACATAAATTTGTTGGTTTGCAAGACCAACAGCTTGAGTTGCTGGGCCTGGGGGTCATATTGGCTTCACTAACATATGTATGGTGGCGTGGCTTATGGATCTGGAGCAAACTTGTGTGTCTGAATTCCTCTTAGGGCTAGTGACTATCAAACAGAAGACAAATCACTGCCATTTAGATCAAATAAAGATATGGAAAGAAGTAGTCCAGTTGAGGACCCGAACTGATGTCATTATACGACAAGTTGGTATGCTTAGGCCACACACTGTATATAATAACGTATTTGTCTTTCACTGGAGGGCCAGTAGTCTGTCTGATCCAGCAGCACTAGAGGGCGTAGTATAACATTACAATATGACTGTGAGTCTACCTGGTTACTATTGTTGTGCAGTTAACAATAGCTCCTGCGTCATCAGAGTGATGTGTTTCGTGCAATTTCATTGCAGTTTGACAGCATCGGCAGTATCAAAAAAACGACTGCCATATGTAGACCTGGGCAGAGCGGTGTACTGAAAGAGCAGTACTGAAACACTGTGGAAAAGACACAGCTTGATGAGTTGTTTGTATCTTAATCAAATAGATTGAGATACTTACATTTACATTTTAGTCATTTAGCAGACGCTCTTATCCAGAGTGACTTACAGTTAGTGATTGCATACATTTTCATACTTCATCATAGCCGCGGGAAGTAGTTTGGGGGTGAGGTGCTGCGATTTTTTTCCCAGCGCTGAAGACATCTATATCGGTCTGCTAATACAGGACTAGTAAAGGCCCAGTGCACTACTTTTGTGGAAAAATGTACAGTTGAAGTCGGAAGTTTACATACACCTTAGCCAAATACATTTAAACTCAGTTTGTCACAATTCCTGACATTTAATCCTAGTAAATATTCCCTGTTTTAGGTCAGTTAGGATCACCACTTTATTTTAAGAATGTGAAATGTCAGAATAATAGTAGAGATAATTATTTATTTCAGCTTTTATTTATTTCATCACATTCCCAGTGGGTCAGAAGTTTACATACACTCAATTAGTATTTGGTAGCATTGCCTTTAAATTGTTTAACTTGGGTCAAACGTTTCGGATAGCCTTCCACAAGCTTCCCACAATGAGTTGGGTGAATTTTGGCCCATTCCTACTGACAGAGCTGGTGTAACGGAGTCAGGTTTGTAGGCCTCCTTGCTCGCACACGCTTTTTCAGTTCTGCCCACAAATGTTCTATAGGATTGAGGTCAGGGCTTTGTGATGGCCACTCCAATACCTTGACTTTGTTGTCCTTAAGCCATTTTGCCACAACGTTGGAAGTATGCTTGGGGTCATTGTCCATTTGGAAGACCCATTTGCGACCAAGCTTTAACTTCCTGACTGATGTCTTGAGATGTTGCTTCAATATATCCACATAATTTTCCTTCCTCATGATGCCATCTATTTTGTGAAGTGCACCAGTCCCTCCTGCAGCAAAGCACCCCCACAGCATGATGCTGCCACCCCCATGCTTCACGGTTGGGATGGTGTTCTTTGGCTTGCAAGGAACCCCCTTTTTCCTCCAAACATAACAATGTTCATTATGGCCAAACAGTTCTATTTTTGTTTTATCAGACCAGAGGACATTTCTCCAAAAAGTACGATCTTTGTCCCCATGTGCAGTTGCAAACCGTAGTCTGGCTTTTTTTTTCTGAGGTCATGGCTGATTTCTTTTGATTTTCCCATGATGTCAAGCAAAGAGGCACTGAGTTTGAAGGTAGGCCTTGAAATACATCCACAGGTACACCTCCAATTGACTCCAATTATGTCAATTAGCCTATCAGAAGCTTCTAAAGCCATGACATCATTTTCTGGAATTTTCCAAGCTGTTTAAAGGCACAGTCAACTGTGAATTATAAGTGAAATAATCTGTCTGTAAACAATTGTTGGAAAAATTACTTGTGTCATGCACAAAGTAGATGTCCTAACTGACTTGCCAAAACTATAGTTTGTTAACAAGAAATTTGTGGAGTGGTTGAAAAACTAGTTTTAATGACTCCAACCTAAGTGTATGTAAACTTCCGACTTCAACTGTATATTTTCCAGTTTCTTGAAATACTTTGCAAATGCAACATATTTCAATGTGAAAACTGAAATGGTCTATTCATTCCTTTTCCATTTTAGTAGGCGCTCTTACCCAGAGCAACTTACAGTAGTGAGTACATACATTTGTATACTTTTTCATACTGGTCCCCCTGTGGGAATCAAACCCACAACCCTCGCATTGCAAGTGCCATGCTCAACCAACTGAGCCACATTATCACATTACATCATCACAAATCACTTGATGTCTCAATGTACTCTGTTAACTTACTGTTCTGCACATTGTTTTTCTTCATAGTGATGGAAAGTCTACAGGTACAAACCTAGATGACCAGCCTATGTACAATACAGTAATGTACATTTACATTAAGTGGTTTGTAAGGATGGTAAATGAATACTGCACAAAAGTGGTTGTTTTCCATGTTATTTGATCAAGAAAAATATTTAATTTGATGTGGATGTTTTGTGTCTTTGCCCATAACTTTGCACCTTTTAATGTTAAAATGTTTGAGGACAAGGTTTTGTTCTTTCTGGATGCCATTAGAATGACAACCACAGAGAAAGGGACATGGCAACAACTCTTACAATTCCAACTGTTGAATCCTGCAAGATATGGTTTTTAATGATACAACTACCTTTTTTTGCCAAAGCAGAGATGCTGAAAAACATTTTTTTTGCCTGCACTACAGATGTCTATATCAGTCCGCTAATACTAGTAAAGGCCCAGTGCATTACCTTTGTGAACATTTTTTTAATCCCAAAAATACTATTTATTTTATTTATATAATTTTTTTATTCTGATTTTTCAATGGGTGCTACAGCACCCTCAGCACCCCTACTTCCCGCAGCTATGTACTTCACCTTAAACTGTGTGTCCTGACTTGCAGGCCTCATTCGTTTGAGGGAGTCGTTTATGGTGAGAGTTTTGCTCATTCTTCCTCTGACTCACTTTGCTGGACTATGCTGCAGCTGTCCAGCCATAGTGGTTTATGTAAGTACAAGTAAATTGCATCAGGTACTAAACAAAAGCCCACATTTGCCTCTCTCTCCATGTATTACAAATATTGAGAAAAATGATTTGTTAATTGAAGAGTGCAGAGATCCTTTTTCATCTATGCTGATTGCTGGACTCTATCATAGGATAGATTGCACAATGTTGTTCTGCTCATGTAGTCAGGAACATTTTCCTCTAAATTGGCTCAAAAAGTAACAAAAACATTTTCAAGGACCTGCACCTTAGGTGTTCTGTAAGGAGGATATAGTACCCATTTTTACCCCAAAAGACACCTCTCTTTCAATAATACTCTGCAATTGTGATTTGGACAGTGACCATTGACTCCTCCCCCTGGGAGTGAACAACTGTATAAATGCAGCATCAGCCCTGGGAACTGCATTTGCCTGAGAACTTAGTGTCGCCAAAACATGAAGGGATTGGGCTTGGTTGTCCTTGTACTTCTCCTGATGCTTTCGGCTGTTGAGGGTAAGCAGTGGATACAGCACTTTGGCTTTGTTATGTAATGGTGCTGGTCTGCATCATACCTGTAAAATGGGATTTCATTAGTGGACTTGCTGAATAGTTGATATGGTTTTGGAGTTGTTATTTTACCATTAAAGACATTGCAAATGTCTGATTATACAGATCCTACAGTAAATGGGCCTTTACAAGTAGGCCGTCATTGTAAATAAGAATTTGTTCTTCACTGACTTGCCTAGTTAAATAAAGGTTCAATAAAAAAAAATGTATGATCTTCAATGGTAATGTTATAGCCTGACATTGGTAATACTGTTAAAATTGATTGATCATCATTAAAGGTAATAAAATAACAGGTGAACATTTGATGTGAAAGTATTCTAGTCATTAGCAAATGACGAAAATAGTGTAGTTGAAATGTTCTGATGGTTTTACTGTTGTTCTAACAGCTGATGATGCGGGGATGCAATATTGGACGTGTGGTTATAGAGGACTCTGCAGACGGTTCTGTTATGCCCAAGAATATATTGTTGGACACCATGGTTGTCCTCGCAGATACAGGTACATGAATGATCTATTTGAAATGTACAGTACATATGTAACTATGGTGAGATTGTATATCATGTATATTGTCAGAGAGATCCTGACGGAGTCAGATCAGCTTTGTCAGACATCCACAATATGAGTATGTGTGTTGGATTGTTGCTGTTATGATGTAACACTTAGTTGTTTTTTCTTGATATTTCAAATTCAGTTGAGTTCTTTCAGCTAAGAACTATCCAATATACCTTTTTGCACAAGCCCTCACTGTGTATTTGTTCATCATTCGCAGGTGCTGTGCTGTGCGGTTTTAGCAGTGACTGACAGTCTAATGATACCTGTAGCAGGACATCACAGGCTGAGGATTGGTGTGCTTCTTTGGCATGGATTCGATTGAAAGGGGTACACTCCTCTTGCATAGAAAAGGATGATCATGGTAGCACCTATGGAACTAATCTTGGAGACTCTTTTGGATAAAGCCTACTGTGATCAAATTGCAAGCCTCTTGGTAAACGACAATGACAGTGTTTGGGGGAAATTTCAGCTGATGTCGAGATCAATTTATTGTATTTTGCTATGGAATCTGAAGTATGTAGTTGACTTGAAGTGACTGCTTGAAGTGACTGCTTTAATTACAGTACATTTGACACGACACATGGTAATGCAACTAAAATGGAGTTAATTTGAAACGCAGTACTCAAAGTATTAAAATAATCTCTAAAATACTGTAGGATCAATCTTATAGTCCACAGTGAAATTATTTCCATAGCTATTATCAATGCATTGTCAAACAGTTGATATGTGTTTTGGAAATGAGTGGTTGACAATAAATGTGTATCAATACTTTCTTAGTTGTTTTGTTTTTTATTTTAAATATCAGGTCTTTTAATTATCTCATGTTAGATGATAGATTCCACTCTGTCGACCAGACTTGATGATTATTAAAATGGGTGTTTCAGGTACTCCATTTTACATCCTTTGTCTGATGTAATGCTAATTTGTCAATAACATTGTCATGTTTCTTTGGAAGGAGAGAAAGATATGACTATAAGGTATAGACTGATGCATGTACTCTGAACAGTGGTTGAATTAATGTTTAAAAAAAAAGAAAAAAAGAAAAGGAAGGGTGCTTTATTATTTATGACCTTTCTACAAATAACAGCATACAAAGCATGATAGTGGGGGGACAATGACAGTCAGGTGACTGACCCAAATAGCTTTGGTGGAATGGTGCTTTGTGAATGAAGTGTGACAGTTGATGCTCGTATTTATGTCATCTCACAATCTATGGATATGTTTGTTTGGCATTTTCCATGGCATAACTCTGTCCTAGGCCATTTTACTATGTTATAACACCAAAGCATTACCGTTTTAGTGGGATGACTAATATGGTAGACACTACAGATGTAAAGTAGCCTCTAGACTTGTTTGCCTGCTGCTATCTTGAACAAGGTCACCTTTCGCCATAGTACAAATACATTGAGACCAGTTCATAAATAGTAATAATATCCCCAAATCATATTAAACTTCCCTTGAAATCCAAATTGATGCATACCCAAAGAGAAAACCAAACAAACTTCATAAAATGCATTGCCTACTCAGTGCTTTAACTAGATAACAACCAGTTATGGACTTGTAGGAGTGTTAACCCCGGTGTCCTGGCTAAATTCCCAATCTGGCCCTCATACCAACATGGCCACCTAATCATCCCCAGCTTCCAATTGGCTCCTCTCCCCTGTAACTGTTCCCCAGGTCGTTGCTGTAAATGAGAATGTGTTCTCAGTCAATTTACCTGCTAAATAAGGGTAAAAAAATGAATAAATGAAGGACTCAGTCATTGTCTAAAGCTATGGCTTGTGACTGGCCTGGTGCAGTAGAGGTTAAAGGCATGGATGTTATCTGTAAACATGTGCTACTGCTTTGTGTTCTTCGTCTATCATTCTATCTTTGTACCTCTGCTATTCAGTCAGCACAGCGTGACACTACCACAATAGAGTAAACCCCCACAAATCTGTTTACATGAGGCTTTCTGTCTTCACAGTTATATCACGGCAAACCACACAGGCCTCACACCAGCTGGTTTAGGGGGGTGAACAGGGTGGGTTTCAGATGTTATTTACTGGTTCTTTATTTTGGTGAACTACAACGTTTTAGTAAAAAAAAAAAAGATTTGAACATATAGTCAACTCTATTTGAAAGTTAGCTTAGTTGTGCAGAGTTGAATGTTGTTAAACAGAATCATGAATGCTGTTTTCTGGAATAGGACGGTGTAACTTTGGATAGTTTGCTCCCTGTAGTTGATCACCTTTATTACAGTGATGTTTGATGTGTGTAAAAATTATGAACATTAAAGATTAAGATTAAGTTATGGGCGGACAATCAAATGCATGCTTTTGCTTTGAAAGGGAGTCAAAAAGACGTACCTTATTCATTTAATGTTGTCAAATCAAATCTTATTGGTCACATACACGTGTTTAGCAGATGTTATTGCATGTTTCACGAAATGCTTGTGTTTCTAGCTCCGACAGTGCAGTAATATCTAACAAGTAATATCTAACAATTTCCCAACATATACCCAATACACACAAATCTAAGTAAAGCAATGGAATTAAGAATATATTAATAAATATATGGATGAGCAATGTCAGAGCAGCATAGACTAAGATACAGTAGAATAGTATAGAATACAGTATATACATATGAGATGAGTAATGCAAGATATGTAAACATTATTAAAGTGACTAGTGTTCCATTTATTAAAGTGGCCAGTGATTTCTAATCTATGTATATAGGCAGCAGCCTCTAATGTGCTAGTGAAGGCTATTTAACAGTCTGATGGCCTTGAGATAGAAGCTGTTTTTCAGTCTCTCGGTCCCAGCTTTGATGCACCTGTCCTGGCCTCGCCTTCTGGATGATAGCGGGGTGAACAGGCAGAGGCTCGGGTGGTTGTTGTCCTTGATTATCTTTTTGGCCTTCCTGTGACATCGGGTGCTGTAGGTGTCCTGGAGGTCTGGTAGTTTTCCCCCGGTGATGCGTTGGGCAGACCGCACCACCCTCTGGAGAGCCCTGCGGTTGCGGGCGGTGCAGTTGCCGTACCAGGCGGTGATACAGCCAGACAGGATGCTCTCAATTGTACATCTGTAAAAGTTTGTGAGGGTTTTAGGTGCCAAGACAATTTTCTTCAGCCTCCTGAGGTTGAAGAGGCGCTGTTGCACCTTCTTCACCACACTGTCTGTGTGGGTGGACCATTTCAGTTTGTCAGTGATGTGTACGCTGAGGAACTTGAAGCTTTCCACCTTCTCCACTGTGGTCCCGTCGATGTGGATAGGGGGGTGTTCCCTCTGCTGTTTCCTGAAGTCCACGATCATCTCCTTTGTTTTGTTGACGTTGAGTGAGAGGTTATTTTCCTGGCACCACACTCCCAGAGCACTCACCTCCTCCCTGTAGGCTGTCTCGTCATTGTTGGTAATCAAGCCTACTACTGTTGTGTCATCTGCAAACTTGATGATTGAGTTGGAGGCGTGCTTGGTCACGTAGTCATGGGTGAACAGGGAGTACAGGAGGGGGCTGAGCACGCACCCTTGAGGGGCCCCAGTGTTGAGGATCAGTGAAGTGGAGGTGTTGTTTCCTACCTTCACCACCTGGGGGAAGTCCAGGACCCAGTTGCACAGGGCGGGTTTCAGACCCAGGGCCTCAAGCTTAATGATGAGCTTGGAGGGTACTATGGTGTTGAATGCTGAGCTATAATCAATGAACAGCATTCTTACATAGGTAGAGCACTGCGCTTGTAACACCAAGGTAGTGGGTTCGATCCCCGGGACCACCCATACACAAACATGTATGCACGCATGACTGTAAGTCGCTTTGGATAAAAGCATCTGCTAAATGGCATATTATTATTATTATTTTATTATTATTATTTATCTTGTCCAGATGGGATAGGGCAGTGTGCAGTGTGCAGTGTGATGGCGATTGCATCGTCTGTGGATCTATTGGGGCGGTAAGCAAATTGAAGTGGGTCTAGGGTGGCAGGTAAGGTAGAGGTGATATGATCCTTGACTAGTGTCTCAAAGCACTTCATGATGACAGAAGTGAGTGCTACGGGGCGATAGTCATTTAGTTCAGTTACCTTTGCTTTCTTGGGTTCAGGGACAATAGTGGCCATCTTGAAGCATGTGGGGACAGCAGACTGTGATAGGGAGATATTGAATATGTCCACAGAGAAGAATGGGAGAAACTCCCCAAATACAGGAGTGCCATGTTTGTAGCATCATACCCAAGAAGACTCGAGGCTGAACACGTTGGCAGAATGTAGGGGTCAGGGGTTGACCATGGTATGCAGCAACACAATATTTCCTGTAATATTTCCAGTAATTTAAACGAATGAAAATTCCAACCATTGTTTATGTTTTGGTTGTGATATGAAATAGTAAAGAAAAATAATGTATGATGTTTTTTTTAAGTAATGATTCTCTCATAAAAAGTAATTCCTTGAACACAATAGATTATAGAAATGAAGTGCTATTTGCATTGTGAAAATCTAATGGGATGTAGTTGCTCCATTGTTTGTTTTGGTTGGTGGCCCTGGCCCACTCTTTGATTGTATGCACATTACGAAGTGTGGCTCTGACTCTGGTAGACTGTAGCCAGCACTCCAATCCGCTAGGTGGCAACACGGCTGCTTATCTACTACTAACCAAATACCGGCGGGTACTGCAGAAGTTGTTCAGCGGTGGACGAGATCAGGAAGAGATGGGTGAAACATCCTCGGATGAGAATGAATTTGATGACTGGTTTATCGAGTCTTTGAAAATGTAAGTACGAGTTATTTTGTGAAAGTGAGTTGAGACTTAGATTATATATTTTAGTTGAATAAATCATGCTTCACATAACATGTTTCTGTGGGAAAACAACAGGGGTACATTCACAGGCGTAACGTTTTAGGACATTGCAGATAGGACTAGATTATAGAACAGAATCAATTTGCTGCTTTGCTTATTAAGTGAATATGTGCTGCACCTGCTCTAAACCAAGTTCCCCTACACCTCTCTTTCAGATACAATAATATTCATGAGTATCAACTTGAACATCCTACAAGAGTAATTGAATGGACAGCAGAAAAAAGTAGCTTTATTTATAATTGTCCGATGTTACAAGGCTAGTGTACATTTTGATTATAACCAACCAACCACATTGATTGTGTTTCAATGCCTTTTTGTCTTTACCCGACAGCTATCTGTGTCGCAGGTTACAGTTTATCTAAAAATGAAATTTTAGAGCTGCTTTTGCCTCTGAAACTCTTCGCTGATGACAATCAGGTAATGGATTGAAATGATAAATGCTTCAAGATATCAGTGATGTATTGGAATGTCAATGACTGCCAATGTGTCTGTCTATTCAATGTGTGCAGGGTCTTTGTGCAGAGCGAGATTTCAAAGTGGTCCATGGAGGTTTCTCAGATGGTGCCGTTCATTGCCTTAAACACATTCCAGGAACAAGGTAGATATATCATATTAGCCATTGCAAATGTAACTTCCTTTTGCTGTCAAGAACTTTCATCTTCTTACAGTTTTTCTCAATCGTGTACAAGCAATTTTGGGATCTGTGTTGAAACGCATCTACAGCAGAACAGCAATGACCAAATGCTCAAATATACAGAACTTCTGATCATTTCCTCTCCTTTGAACCTCACTTGCATATCTTAATCCACCTTTTGCAGAACTTTAAATAGAAAATGTCATTAGTGAATACAAACCACTGTTAAGTGTTTTGTTCACAGAATATTAACACATTGTTTTAATCAGAAGAGAAATTTGTGCAATTGTGTTCACTGTTTCCAGCAATCAGTAAAGACTACTGCACAACATTTTTAATCATCCCATCAGGTTCATACCATGTACAATATAGGGAAAGACCTAGGCAATAGGAACTGTCTCTTTTTTTAATGATTTTGTACAATATTGTGGACATGCAGAGAATGTAGTTGGGGTACTTCTAAGTAAATTGGGGTACTTGTAAGTCATCATCTCGAACATTGTCACCTTCCATTAGGCTATAGAGCTTCGCTTTGGTTTGGATTGAGGCCTATACATTCATATCAGTTGTGTTCCTCCATTGGAATCACCTTTCCTTATTTCTATTGTGGATCGTGTTTCTGTGAGCCAATGAAAAGTCTACAAAACTATGAGCAAACCAGCATTCGGAAAGTATTCAGACCCCTTCACTTTTTCCGCATTGTTACGTTACAGCCTTATTCTAAAATCGATTAAATTGTTTTTTCCCCCTCATCAATCTACACACAATACCCCGTAATGACAAAGCAAAAACAGGTTTAGACATTTGTGCAAATGTATTAAAAATAAAAAACAGATATCACATTTACATAAGTATTCACACCCTTTACTCAGTACTTTGTTAAAGCTTTGCTCCGTTCATCTTTCCCTCGATCCTGACTAGTCTCCCAACCCCACAGTATGATGCTGCCATCACCATGCTTTACCGTAGGGATGGTATTGGCCAGGTGATGAGCGGTGCCTGGTTTCCTCCAGCTGTGATGCTTGGCATTCAGGCCAAAGAGTTCAATATTGGTTTCATCAGACCAGATAATCTTGTTGCTCATGGTCTGAGAGTCCTTTATGTGCCTTTTGGCAAACTCCAAGCAGGCTGTCGTGTCTATTACTGAGGAGTGGCTTCCGTCTTGCCACTCTACCATAAAGGCCTGATTGGTCGATTGCTGCAGAGATGGTTGTCCTTCTGGAAGGTTCTCCCATCTCCACAGAGGAACTCTGGAGCTCTGTCAGAGTGACCATCGGGTTCTTGGTCACCTCCCTGACCAAGGCCCTTCTCCCCCGATTGCTCAGTTTGGCCGGGCGGCCAGCTCTAGGGAAGAGTCTTGGTGGTTCCAAACTTCTTCCATTTAAGAATGATGGAGGCCACTGTGTTCTTGGGGAACTTCAATGCTGCATAATTATTTTGGTACCTTTCCCCAGGTTTGTGCCTCGACACAATCCTGTCTCGGAGCTCTACGGACAATTCCTTCAACCTCATGGCTTGGTTTTTGCTCTGACATGCACTGTCTGACATGCACTGTCATCAATGGAAACAGGATGCACCTGAGCTCAATTTCGAGTCTCATAGCAAAGGGTCTGAATACTTATGTAAATAAGGTATTTCAGTTTTTTTTATTTTTAATACATTTTCAAACATTTCTAAACCTGTTCTTGCTTTGTCATTATGGGGTATTGTGTGTAGATTGATGAGGAAAATTTTTAATTTAATCAATTTTAGAATAAGGCTGTAATGTAACAAAATGTGGATAAAGAGAGGAGATCTCGAATACAATGTGCTTATTTTTTATTTTATTTTTGATCAGGAATAATATTTGATTTGATGTGTATGGAATTGTTTGCTGAAATATGCATAATTACCCATAATTCTGCACCTTTGGATAGTTGTACTTCCAATTTTGATCATCATGATTTAGTGACTACAAAGTAAATCTATTGATGTACTGGGCTTTTTAAAATACAGATTCACTTTCTGTTTTGTCTGCTTGGACTCAAGCGATAAGTATGGTTGCATTTGTCTTTTTGCAGGCAGTCTTTTTTTTAAATGAATGTATTTGCTATTATGACGGTATAATATAGTTTTGATGAATGTATTTATATTTTAGGAAGGCAATTACATTTTGAAAACGCATTTACTGTTTTGCAAAAGGCCACAGAGTTCTGTGTCTTTTGCTAAACAGAATCGACAACATTGTTCCGAAAAATGCTTGTACGCGATTTGAGAAACCATAAATGGTTACTTTCTTGTTAAGATGTGTCGTTACCAATGATGGCTTCAGCTCCAAGCTCCTGGTGTGGGACTTAGGAGGAGATGATTGTGGTGAGTAAACCTACACCTAGTGTAATGAGACTGAAGTTCGTATCTACTCTCCACTTTTTACTGTAGCTACATCCACTAGGCATGGATGATTTATAACCTGATTAGGCCACAGTACGAATTGGTCTTGCCCACATTGAAACCACATTTCTGTTACGTGATTTGTTTTCAAATGATAGATGTCATAAAGAGGACTGGAGACATACAACCAAAGAGTGCATCATCAGATAAAGGTGTCAAGATAGCCTCCGGATTAACTGGAAACCCCTGCATTCTTCATGGCTCTCAGATCAGCGATATTCAACTGACTGAGCTGACGTCAGGGAAACCACTCTACTCTGTAGGTAATAACCTGTTTTATACACACTGTAGCCTTTTTGGATTGTGTCAAACTATAATTTCCTCTACAGTATAATATTGGGTATAGAAACACATGAATAACAGTTTTCTTCTATCGTAGAAACAGACACTCCAGAAGCACTGAGCTCCCTGCAGTTTGTGAGTGGCAGTGTATTTCTCGCTTGTGCCTGCAATGGTGACCTGTATGTGGGGGACACACGGAAGCATTCAGCTCCTCAGCAAACCCCAGCTGGAGGGAGAGAGGGAGGCCACTGGTGTATGGGTGTTAAGACAGACCTGTCCTCATCAGACCCATCCTCCTGTAGTGTAGCACGGCTCTCCTCCTCCTGCCAAGTGGTTGTGTCTGATCTTAGGAACCTAAGAGCCCCCATGAGTAAAGCCCAGCTTGATGTCCAGAGGAAAACTACCAGTGATAACTTCATGAATGTGACATGGGCGCCAGCTTTAGACAACTGCCTTGCTGTGTCAGGTAAGCAAAATGTCACTCTTTCATTTCTGCTTGGATTAATGAATGTCTTATGGACAGAACAAAGTTGTTCTTGCTTTTTTAGAATGGCTGTCATAATAAAGCAGTTTCCTCCATTTTCAATTGAATTTGTCTCCTCTTCTAGGTTTTGATGGAATGGTGCAAATCTACAACACTGCCTCTTGGAGACCAGAGTTGATGGAATTCCAGCCTCTTTTTATCCACCGTGGTCACATGATGTCTGAGGATCAGTTTGACACATCATCAGCTGTGGTCACCACTCATGTTTGGCATCCAAGTCGACCTAAGACTGTCCTCTCTGCTGCTGTAGACGGGTCTGTGCATGTATGGGACTGGGTCGACAAAGCCACTGCCAGCTGTTGACATTCAAACACACTTACAGCTCAATGTTAATCATTATGTAAATATGTAAGGAAAAAACATCCTCTGTAAAGCACCATTTATTGTGATGGATAAGATGATGTAAAAATGACACTGTTATTTTAGTAGTTATTCAATGTTATGAGTAGTTATTCTTATACTGTACACAAAGTTGCATTATGGAAGAGTTATTCTGAGTTTATACTATTATATTTTATAAGAAAGCAAGATTGTTCACTTTTGTTACATATTTTATAATAAAATTTTAATAAGTAAACTCTGATGCTAAATAAGTCAAACCCTGGCCTGGAGATAAAGGTGGAAGGCAGTTGCATCACATTATTCGCTCACAACACTGTAAATAAAAAAGCTAAACAACACCTCTTGTCAGATTTTTCAAATTTATTTTCAAAAGATAGTTCTGCATGCCATTCACAGAAATTATTAACAATATGTTTTTATGCATTTTCTGCATAGCCAAGGATGCAGGCAGGGACAGGCTTGTTCAGGTAGTTGAGACAGGACTAATATTGTAGCATCTTTTAGAGACAGGGAACACAATCTAATTTGGCACATTGGAGTTCTCAGCAAATTAAGCTGATCTGTCCTTTAGCAGAGACTTTTCAGAGTGACTCACTGTCCGTGCATTACAGAGGGTCTGAACAACAGCATAAATTATATAAATAAAAATCACAAATTACGTAGTCATAACATTCATAATGCTATGGGGAATGTTTGAACTGTCCAGACAGGAAGGATACAAAGTGCTTAAAGACAGGATTGGATAGTGTGGCTTTGGGAAGCCCATGCAGTTTGAACAGATGAGTCACAGTAGATGACAAACAACTTCATGATAGAGGGATAGTCTGTTCATTCAACAGGGAGCAGGGTTGTGGCCTGATCATGGCCTGTAGGTGGTTGTTCTCTTCACAGTGTGCTTGGCAAGCATGAGGAACTGAAACCATGACTCAATGTAGAGGTGAAAGGAGTTACATTGCAGAACTAAGTAACAAACATATGCTGTTTAAATAGACTGTCATCCCCATGACAGCATGCATTGCAGTCCATAGTCAAACTTCATAAAATGATCACATCTACAGATTATATCACATTTAACTATGATTGCGTTTCAATGAAATTGTAGTGTAAGTTGCCTTTTCTACACAAAACTACTTTGATATAAATGATCATGTTCCATTATTTTCAGAAGCTTATTTTTCTATACTAATAAAGTATAGCGATGATAGTGCATCTACTGACCACTGAATCTGATTGGAGTTGGAGTGTAGTACTGAAATAAAACCCTAACAAAAACCTAGAAGGTATTTTCTTTTTCATCAACGGTCTGCATGACATCACTGAGTGGAAAAGACACAAAGGCGATCTGTTCAATCTCACTCTTCTCCCCACATTCCATCAGGCAAGCAAAGTGCTCAGTGTCCTCACTGTAGGCCAAGTCTGAGTAGCCACTGGGTCCACTGTGGACGATCCAGGGCCGGTCCCAACCTGACGTGTGCAGTGGGGAACGGTTCAAATACACTCCCAAGTCTTTCCTCTTCCTCTTATTGGTCGGGTGGGTGAAGAGTAGCCAGGTTTGCGTGTCTGAGGCCCGTGGTGATGATGTGGTGCCACCCATGCCCTCTTCACCTTGCTCAGGGGCAGGGAAGCCAATCACACTACCTTGGCAACCACCATGGCACGGCTCCACTAACCTCGGAGCCAAGCGAGGTTTGTCATAGTAAACCCCACTGCTCTCACTCAGAGCCTCCACTCTGTGGCCTCTATGGCGGGCGTTGCAGTACAGGTGACTCCTGCCCTCGTGGTCTATGATCTCTGCCATCTCACATTCACAGGACTTTCTTTGAAGCATCCTGCCCATTTGCCATGTCTGACCGAAGTCGTCACTGTATATTGAGAGAGCGTGAGGCTGTACCATGAAGGGGAAAGGGAAGGAGAAGCATTTGAAGTGGATATAATAGGCATAGGCCGGAATGATCAATCTTCCACTCTCCATTTGAATGCCATGGCCTGGTCCCACAGCAAATGTAGCCCACCTTCTGACCGTTTTGCCAATCACACTCTCTGTCAAGTCCTTCGTCTGGCTCCAGCTCTGGCCCTCATCATTACTTGTGATGTAACACAGGTGGGCCTTATTCTTGCCTGTCCAGATCTGATGGTGCTCTGAAGTGTTCCCTAAAATGCAGATGAAAAACAGGAATAGAGTCTTGGTATTCTTCTCATAAACCGGGCAGGGGTTCATGGTGCGGTGGTCTGGTAAACATGCTGATAACAGCTCCTGGGATTCTGACCACTGGGGAACAATGGAAAAGTATTTAAACAATAACGAACAAGTAGAAACTGTAAGCAGAATGTAACAACTCAATTAAACATGAAACCCTTCAACTGCGTATTGTGACTGTGATGTGTTTAGATTTGGAGGGGACATTTACCTGAGTGGATCCATTTTGTTGAGTTCCTCGCCTCATAACAATACTTTTTGTATCACCATCACTGAGGGAAGAGCGCTTTTCTGCAAAGGCAAGGAATGTCTGACTCTCTTTTAGGTAGATGAGAGCTGGAATTCTGTATCTTGTCCCAGTTTGCTCCTGTTTGAACAGAGTTGTTTTTGCAGGTTGCATTTCTATTCCTTGGAAAGAACTCCTTGATGATGTATTCCCCATAGCTGAATTTGCTGGTTCCTGCAAACAGAGGGATTACTTCAAACACATATGACTAAACCACTAAATTCACTATATTTATTCCCTTGACATGAAAAGCTTATTGATTGAATCGGCTAAGCTCTTCGCACGACAGCTAGCTGACATTCAAGTAAATCAAGCTAATTATTTTACATGCAGAATGATAGTCTACTACGTCGACGTCGTAATAAGCCAAAACACATACTTACAGGAGCAGGCTTTTTAGCCTACAAATCACACCGTTGAGTCGTGAGACCCAGTTAAAACGACCATAGTTCAGCTACCTCTAAAACGATCTATTTTGATTATTTTTCCTTTCGCTGTTAAATATGGAAGCGTGTCGTGAAATAACAGCGCACGTAGCTCGTCTGGGGTGTATTCATTACGTCCTGCAACGGAAACGTTTACCGTTGAAGAACCAAACGGAGGCAAACAGAGCAAATGGAACAACACGGGAAGGGACCTATCAGAGGTGTAATCATTACGTCGATTCTGTTTGGTTCTTAAACGGTAAACGTTTTCCGCAATGAATAGCCTACACCCCTGAATTTGTCCAATAGAAACTCTCGTTTTTGTTGCAAAACGTTTCCATTTGGATAAACGTGTCTGTTGCAACAGATTAGACGTTTGGCAACAGAATTGTCGTAATGAATACACCCCTGTTGTGTGAAGTCAGTGGCGGCAAAAGAGACCAAGATATTCTATACCGCCAACAGCTGGCGGGAATGTAGTCAGACTTGTTGACGTGTTGCTAGGATACAGGAGTCTTGACTGATACAATGTTTCTTCAAGTTCGCACATCATGATGGTTGGCTGGTTATGGTTATGGTAGAAGAGGTCAAATTGGCCTGTAAATTGTGTAAATAATCTGGACAGCTCGCAACAAACAGGTACTTGCTGTAGATGTAACAGTGGACGTTAATGGCTGCAGCCGGACTCTACAAATTAGATGTGGGAGACAGTTACCCCGCCAATTGTTTTCCCATCCGACCATTCTTTCATCAACGAAAAGAAGGTATGAATTCACCACTCTCCACCAACAATATTATTCACTGTTCGCTGTAGTCTTATCACTTCACTGATAGGCCTATTGAATGGCATTTGATTCATCTATCCAAGACTGTCTGTAATAAAATAATTCTGCATTGTGCTTGCTTTCTTGTGATTCTTTAGGGGCGGGTCACTGGCTGGTTGCTCACAGAAATGCAGTGGAACATAAATACAAGAATGCACAAACTAAGAAATCAGAGGGACACAGTTTTGCCTCAAACTCAATTGTGTCTGAGTGCACACGGGTTGACAAGTCTGGGACATCAGATATTCCTGGCTATACATTGGATGCTCATCTCCTGGTAAGCAAAGAACACATTTGGTTTACAACTCTTTTTCATTTGAGAAAAAACCGCAAACCCATGCCAGGAAGCTGATGACAAAGTAACAATGAACAATGTATCTATGAAATAATATATTTATTCTCATTAGTTAATAAAAAGTAACTATTTTGAGATTTGTTTCATATTGCCTTGTAGTTGTCATTGCATTGTGTGGACAAGCCATCTGACCTGTGCTCTGTTGACATCAGTGAGCAGAGATTGCATTTGGTAAGCTTTGCTCTTTGAGAGATTAACTGAATTTAGTGTTGGATTAATTCAAACAGTCTTAGCATTCCAAGGGGAGAGAGTTTATAGGTAGACACATAGCTTCATTAAGTTCAGTCATGTTTGAAGTTTTTCTCTCTTCCTTCAACAGATCAATACAGAAGATTTACTAGATTTTGAGAACGTTGCTTATGTCAACGCATCTGACAACAGTCTTACCATAGGTATCATATCATGTCATTATGTTTAAAAAAAAAACGTTTTATCATTAAACATCTTAGACATAAACGTTTATTTGAACAGAATAGAAAAGTAACAACAAAAAAATATTTTCTGTTTCAGAGCCTTTTGGTAAATTCCCCTCCCTGAGGGAACTTGAGCTATCCTTGAATGGCCTCTGCAATGTGACACTCAATGCTGAGGATTTCCCTCACCTGGAGGTAAAATTACTATGGTTCTACAATACCCTGTACTCTCATGATTAACATGTCGGCAAAGGTTTTTTGGAAAGGCAGGTAAATTCATTGTTTATGCCAGATGTTTTTTGATGTTCTAATTGAATCACTACACTGACTTGGATTGAGACGGAATTACCTTCAACTCTGCCAACTAAATTATGTTTAGCTGTATTTCATTTGACACAGGTGTTGGATTTGGCCTACAACAATCTGTCTGGTGATGACATCATGTCCATTGGTCTACTTCCCTGTCTGAAAGTCCTTCATCTCACCGGGAATCAGCTTCAGGCTCTTCCCCCCAACCTGGCAGCCCCTCGCCATGGCCCCTCACAGCGGTAAGTTTATGTTACTGGAATCAAATCATTTTTATTGTAAATAGTCAACTTTTTACTGTGGGTATGTGCAGTTTTCTGGTTTAGTTCACCCAGTCATTGATTAAACATTCCTACTCAACAGGGTTTAACCACAGGAATGAAATTAGTGGCTTCCTGATGTGCAAGTGTTCAGAAATGTGGCTCTTGTGAATTGTTATCTGGTTAAAGTTTATGGTGTAGTACCCTACATGCCATTGGGTGGCAGTATAGAATGACAAAGAAGAGAGATTTACATTATGTCTTGTCATACACTTTTGCACGGAATACCTGCAAACAGTGATGGACAATACACACTTAAGTAATTTTATGAAAACTATAAGTATATGGAATAATAAACTCATATTTACTCCTACTGAATAGGGCAAAGGATAATGGCATGCGATTTCAAACTCTTGAAGTGCTGATGCTAGATGACAATAAGCTGTCCTCTGGTGTCTTCAGCAGCCTTGCCAACCTGAAAAGGTCAGTCATTGTTTAAAAACTTAGTACTAGTACTGTCCACAGTATGTTAAATTAAGAAAATAGCCCAATACATTACAGTGCATAATACACACCTACCTGTATACCTACTGTATCTATCTGTAAACTGCCATGGTAATATGTCATGTCCATTTTAGACTACAGCATTTAAACCTGCAGGGGAATCACATCTCAGAGGTACCAGAGGTGTTGCAGAGGAACCTGCAACAGAAGGGATATTTGCAACACCAGCAGGTGTTTCACAAACAAAATAGTGACGGACAGGACCTCGGGAATCACTGTGTCTCTGAGGGGTTAGAGACTGAATACATGAATGGTTGGTATGCTATATTTTCAAAATAACGTAGCTGGCTTGTACACTTCTTTGGACAATATTCATTTGTTTACTATATCTTAAATCTAGCCCTCTCCGATGTTCCGAAACACCTGCATGAACATGTCAAGAACAGTTCAGAGGTACAAAGTTGTTATGGTGATTTTTTATCACTTCTTTGTGCTTTTATTACTTCTCCATGCTCTATAACACTAACACTTGCAACTTGTTGCTCTTTTTTCTGCGTGTTCTTTCTCCTATAGGATGAGTGTGGTCAATCCAAAAACTATAACCCCATTCACATATCCCTTGACACTGAGGAATTTTCTGGAGCATACAGTTTGCCACTACCAGAGCTTTGTTTCCTCAATCTGGCTGACAATAAGGTCTGTATATTGTCTGGATATATTTGGGAAGACTATACTGTGAGTCAGTGAAGTCACTTGTGTCTCATTATTGCCTCCAGATTGTTGAGGAAGAAGCGCTGTTGTCTGTGGCCCTGTTTCCTATGCTCAGTGAGATTGTTATTCACTCCAACCCACTGACCACACAGAGAAGTGGTATGTTGACTCTCTGTACTTATGTGAAGCCTTTATTAGATATAAATTTGCGCTTTTGTTAAATAATCTATTTAAGTATGAACACATACATTTTATTAAAGGTCTACTGCAGACGTTTGTATCTCAATATCAAATCATTCTGTGTAACAATTAAGTACCTTGCTGTGATTGTTTTCATTTAATATAGTAAAAAATATTTAAAAAAAATAGCTTCTTAGCAAAGAGCAATTTCTCAAGAAAAATTTTAGCTAGGACTGTCTGGGAGTGGTCTGAGTGGGGAGGGGAACACTGAAAACTAGCTGTTGGCAGAGAGATTTGGAACTCTCTTTCTTATTGGCTAATTTACCGCCTGGTGATGTCACCAGGAAGGCCAATACTCCATCCCACCAAAACAGGCTGAAGTTTCAGGCGGTCTTTTCAAACAGCTGGTACACTAAAAGGGCATTTCTCATAATTTTCACAATTTCACAGTATTGTTCCTAACTCATAGTGTAGAAATATATATAAAACACAGGAAAATCATTTATTTTGACTGAACTGGGCCTTTATCTTAAAAATGTTTGCTTATCATTAATTGTATTTCCATCCAGGTGACCCACCACTGCTGACATACTTCCTCCAGGAAAGGTTGGGTATTAGAATTAGGCGCAAGAAGACATCAGAAGTTGTGAAGCCCCCTTTGATATTATGTATTGACTCAAAACGAAAGGTTTGAATGCAATATTTTTTATTCACATTTAGGCATAGCACATACTCATTCAACTAGGAAGTAAGATATAACTGCACGTTTTTGACTGCACATTCTTAGTTTTCATTTAAATATTTTTCAAACACAATGAATTTTTCATCATTCGGGTCTGACAGAGACTAACTTTTGATATTGAAACTAATTGAGGAACATTCATATTTTTCTTTTTCTTTAGGTAAAAACGAAAATTCCAAAGGTACCAAAGGTGCCTTTACTGATTCTCCTTGAAGCACCTTGTAGTCCTGCCTTACATGATCCTGTCTCTCTGGAGGAGAAGCATGTTGAAGATCACTGTACGAGTCCTCTCTCAGTAGAGAGAAAGTCAACCGAAAAGTCTGGCTGTTCCTCACACGCAATGGATAAGGAAAATAGACCGGAATCTATGGGAACTGCTCATAGAGTTGAGGCAATAGATGGTGCAATAGAATCATCAGATGATACATTCCAACATGCAGAGTCATTCTTTGTGACCCAGGTGATTTGCATGGTCTCTTTCATGACATTCAGGAGGATAGTTATTTGCTTTGTGGTTTAACATGCCTAGGTACAGTATGGTGACATGAGTATAATAGTTCACTTGTTATTCTCAGGTGACAGATTTACATGATGAATCTGAATACCATCTGCTATCTGACGAGACAGAAGAAGTCAAAGAGATTGAGGAGAAAGATGAGTCAAATGCAATTCTAGGAAAATTCAGAGGCTTTGAATTGCTATTGGATGCCAAGCCAGATCCAGACATGGTGGAGCCTGTTGGTGAGGAGGACCCTTTTATGAATAGTTTAAGTAGAATTTTCCTACGAGTCAAAGGGATTGTGTGCAATTTCAATGCTGCACTCCCTTAAGGAATGTAATGTTATGTGTTCTACAGGACTACAACATGCTGTGAGAATGTTGGAACAAAAACTCAAGAATCTCCTCGTTTACAGAGATTCCAAACCTAATCTTGATTGCCTGCAGAAACCATATAAAGAGAAGGAGAAAAGGGTGAGCTATGTGAATAACAGTCGAAGCACATGCCTGCTAGTGAAAATTTCATATGATCTTATCTGTTACAGGTTACCTGCTTCAACCAGCTGAGTTGTGTGTCAGTCAGCCATATTTAATAATAAAACAAAAACCTTTAATTCTCAGATTGTAAATCTACCATCTCTGAGACCAAGAAAGCAGAGAGGAGAAAGAGTTGAAGAGATGCTCATACAAATAAAGGAGAGGAAAACAATCAGCAAAATCCCTCTAAGTACTAAACCTCTTTTTATCCTCATCAATAACATGGGAAGTGAATATCTATCTATTATATGTCATATTCTTTGTTGAATATGTAATCCTGTTCTTTCATAGCCAAAGTCTTAGAAGGCAAGGGCTTCTTCAAGGAAGAGTATGAAGAGGCTTTGACTTTGCTGAGGGATATGAAGAAAAGGTACAAGATGGTTCACATGAAGGCAGTGGAGCAAGCAACACGTACTGAGTGTGAGAGGACCACCAACCACAAGTAGAGAATCACAAACTTTGTTACTTTCATGAAATATGAACATTAAACAATTAACCAAACACTCTTCTTCCAAGTTATTCACGTGAAGATAATGATCAGCTACAAATTATTTCTGGGAAAACGTTCTTATTGAGTTTCTTTAGCCCATCTATTACAACTGTTATGTATAACATTATCATCATGCATTTGCTTGCCTCGATAGTCTGTTTCATTATTAAATAGCTCTGTTTCAACTTTATTTAACCTTGACAAGAAGGTGACACAGAGGATCTTGCAAATGAAGGCGCTGTCACCCAGGCTCGTGGCAGTTTTTTATTTCAGCGGGGTATTAATAAAATCTGTTTTAATAAATGAGTTGATAAAACAGTCTAATAACTATTCCACTACTGTCCATCTTTCAAGGGGCCAATGTGATATGGGGTGTCGTGTCATCACTTCAACTTTGTGTGTAATGATGATTCTGTACAAATGCAACAGACCCCGAACGCTTGATACTCTTGAACATATCACGCGCAAACACACATGACAGGAAATAAATAAAGCGCCGTCAGTGACGTCAGTATGTTCCCGCCTGAAACCGAAACTAAGGAGGCAAAACAGCTATCGAGATAGTAACATAAATTGGACAATGGATTACCTTTATTTGGATAATATTGATGAATTTGTCAACGACCAGAATAAAATCGTAAGTCACCTAGCTAACTAATCTATCTCGACCGATCCAACTAGCTGCTGGAGTCAGCTATCTGACTGTGCTGAGCCTAGCAACGCTAGATAGCTATCACTTGCCCACCTTGCTATTGAATGATGCAGTGGTTTTAAGACAGCATCAGGCCCCCAAATGTTGTGACTACACGGTCGGTTGGGGAAGCTTGGAGCTGCATTCCTTCCTAGAATATAGGAATACAGCAGATCGAGCATGCAAAGGTCTCTGGGTAAACTACATAAATTGTGTTGTATGCATCCCACATATCTCTGTTGGCAACAGAGTGTTTGCTTGTTATTGTGTGTATTCTAACAGGTGACCTACAAATGGCTGAGTCTCACTCTTGGGGTCCATGTCAACCTAGCCAAACAGTGAGTATCCAGATCCAACCTTCTAAACTGCCTTTTGAAAAATTAAAAAGGTGTTTAAACCACCAGCTGTAAATTACAACCCATGAGTCCATCATGATGTGTATATTTCAGAATGCTATATCATTACCTGGACCACAAGAGGAAAGAAAGCTCAGCTCCGCTCCATGCTACCTACCTTGTGTCTGGCAAGTTTGTCGAGAATGGTACCACGGTAAGAGAACAAGCCAAAATGCCCAATTTCATTCACAATGCCCCTACATACCTCGACATAAAGCAGTAGACCCATTTGGAAATAAAACGTTGGACATAGTATTCTTGCTTTGTTTTGGTATGTTTCAGTGTTTGTACTTAGGTCCTTTTTCAAAGCTTTTTTTTTTTTTGCAGAGTCACAAGGTGTCAGTAGTGCAAGAGGATCAGTTGGAGGGTAATTTATCAGTTCTCCTGCCTCCTTTCCTAACTGTGTTTGATGTGTTGTTTCTTTGTCATCAAGATGAATAAGTGCTGTGAATGTGTTAACAAAATGGAATCTGTCATGTGTTGTAGATGTGAAGTCGAAGCTGAGCCTGACCGTCAGTGTACACGTGTACAGTGTTCAGAAGGCTGTGCTGAAAGACAGTGGTCCCCTGTACGGTGCTGATTATGATGCTGTGAAAGAGAACCTAAGGAACTGCAGCAGGTACATCCGTCTTCAAACTTGATTCAATCAAAATAATAGATTGAGAAATTGCTGTTAAATATTACGTTTGGTGGCCTATTTATCAGAACATACCAATGTATTTGCAGGTACAGTGCCATTCGCTGTGCAGATGCAGTACCCATGTCCTCAGCAGAGGTGCAGCAGGCTCATGAGATCGCACAGGCCCCACCACCAGAGACGGAGCACACCAAATCTGGCATCAATGGTCATTCTAGTATGTCCTCTAAACCCACCTCCAAGCAGCCCAAAGGCATTATGGGAATGTTTGCAAACAAGAATGTCTCCAAGAATCAAGAGTCTAGCAAAGAGAAAACATTGGCGCAGAAAGAGGATGCACCTGTGGTATGTGTTAGTGTTTCTATGCTCTGTAAATGGCATGTGATGTTCATTTCATCCAGTGCTCAGAATTGCAACCCATAATGCTATACCTTGTGATGTCACATTTATTTGATATTGTAGGTTGAGACCTCCAAAACTAAACCAGCTGCAAAGACACATCCTATGAGTAACTTCTTTGGGAATCAAGCAACCAGTGAGTTTTTCAACAATCCCATATCAAATATGGGGATATCGTTCTATAATTTAACATCTCTAAGATAAATCCTGTATGTCCGCCACAGAAAAACCGGACAAATCCATCAAGGAAGAGGTAGAAGCAGCCCAGATGTCCTCTTCAGTGGATGAGAAACCCTCAAGCCCAGTCCCTAAAGCAGAGTCTCCTGTCAAGGAGGAACTACCAAAAGGTGCTGTAGTTGAGAAAGATATTAGAAGGTGTGTATTATTAAATCTTGTAGGAGTCCTTGTGTCATAATTATAAGTACCATGGGTACTGAAGTGATTATAAGAGGAAGTATTTGTTAGACACTGAAGTTGTATAGTATATTAGAACCAGTGATGGAACTGTGATTTTGGTCACCGGCCAGACGGGCTAGTAGACTGTGATTTTTACTAGGCCGGGTATTATTTGGATCCAAAATCTGTGCCGAGCGATACTTGGAGAGAAGAAAAAAAAATGTCACTGGCCACCGGGCTAGTTTATGACATTTTCTACTAGCCCAGTCTGAAAAGTACTAGCCTTGGGATAGCGGGCTAGCTTAACTTCATCCCTGCTCAGAACCAACATCTCGCAGAAACCTTGTCGTCTTGGTGAACGGTGAGTGTTTTGAATGGCAGTTCCAGAATATGCTTTAACAGAATATTTTCCTTTCAGTAGTAAGACCAAGCGTCTTGAACATTCCGATAGTGAAGAGGAGAAGGAGAAGAAGCGACGGAGGATAAAGAAGGCCCAGCCAGAGAGTAGTGATGATGAGGGTAAGATGAGCTGTAAAGGGAGGGCATGCTTATTGCTCAGGCTCCCCACAACATTCACACTGGACTTCAGCATTCAACTGTTTCATGATTAAAAACAGAACTATTCTATGCTACAGTTATACCAGATTCTCCTCCACGGTTGCAAGAACAGAGGGACCCATCACCAAGCCCTGTGAATCAAGTAAAGAAAGAAGCTTTTGCTGTTTCTCATTCAGATGTAAGCTTTCACATTGTATTTATTTAAGTAGTAAACTGTTGAAGTTGCAGGATATAATTAGTAAGACATTTTAAATATTTTTTTATATTTTTTATCACCAATTTGTAATGATCGTTATCTACCTATCAATCCATGCAGGAGCGTTCAGATTGTAAGTGGAGGAAGAGGAGACGCGTCTTGAAATCGCGCACCTTTTTGGATGACGAGGGATGCATTGGTAAATTATTGAAATCTTTTTTGTTTTGTTTCTATTCAACTTTTCTTGTAAACATTTTGCTAAAGTCTAATGCCTCTGACATGCACATGAAGCCTGTTTCTTCTCCCCGAAGTTAGTCTATTGTTTATATGTTAAAGCTAAGATGTCAGATAGGCTGATCAATGTCTTAATGATGTCTGATCGCAAAACCATTTTAAACTGTCTACCTTCCAGTGACTGAGAAAGGCTATGAGAGTGAATCCTACTCTGAGACGGAGGACGACTTTAAGGCAAGTAAACCAGCCCAGAAGAATCCAACCCCACCAAAACCATCAACTGGCAAGAAACAGGAGGAGAAGAGAAGTAAGAAAGTTGCTGCAGCTGCTAATAAATCAACTAAGCAGGCTTCTATTATGGGATTCTTCCAAAAGAAATGACAGAAGCCATACTCTCATTGTACTGAGCACTGAGAAGATTAACATCCATTTTGAGGGACTTGAGGGCCAGATGGAGAGAATTTAGACTGACGCACATTATCAAATGCTCCGGAGGATGGATGTAGTTACTTCGCTGGCAACATTTGGAAGAATGCTGTAATCTACTATTCTGCAAGTGTTGAAGGGTTCATACTGTGGGGAACCAGAACAGATTCTGAACAGCTGCAGTGTGGCATGCTCTTACCTGCCTCTTTCACTAGTGCTTTTCCTTTGGTCTTGTGAAAAAAGTCTGTCAGAATATTATTTTTTTATGGTAGAAAATTAACTTGAATGTTTAATCTGCATATTCATTAAAGATACAGTATTTTCATATATTTACTTGTGTTCTCTACAGTATATTAAAGCCAAGTTGAAAAGTGTTCAATATTCACAAAATACAGTATGATCAATCACAGAAGTGGTTTGTGTAGAAAATTGTGGTGGCATTTTAAATGCATCTTATCTTTGAGTAATAGGTTTGCTTCCTATTGTTTTGACATGCATGAGATCACTCGGGCACGATCAGGCGCTCAGGTTACGTTTGATACACAATGGTCTGCCTTTGGCAGGGCTTAACTCTGGAAGCACATTTTGGAATCAACTGTCTGATCCAGTGCCACAGCCGTGTTATTGCTTGCCGCATGGCTTGCAACGTCCCTTGATGCAGGATAGTACCCGGTCCCTTTGACAGGCTTATCAATTGAAACTGGCTCTCTGAAATTCACAGGACAAGATGAAACGACATTCATGTGCTTTGGGAATGTATGTTTGGATTAATTTAATCAATCAACAGTAACCAAATCTGAACTGACCCCAATCTTACTTTAGGTGCTCTGGGTAACGAGCATGAAGGTTGTCTTATTTTTGACGCCAACATAAGAAATCACACATTTGTAATAAATCATATTAGTGAATAATACAATTACACATTGTGTGTCCCACACAGTAAGCAGATTTGTTATCATGGGCAAAAGGCAACTGTTGAGCAAACCCATGCAATGGAAAAACAGGCCATGGACTGTCTAAACTGAGGCAGGGTTCCATCTCCTTGACTTGGCTATGCAATGAGGGAACATGATGAACGGTTTCCAGGTTTCTTCAAAGGTACATTCGAGTGAGGGAGAGGCTGGGAGGTTCATATACTATCACACAGCTGGAAAGAACGCTTTACGAGAGGATGGGGCATGCAGGTATGTGTTTGGACTAATGAATCTTAGTTTTTTGGTACATAAAACGATACTGTCAAAATACCTGCATCTAGACTGATAAAAGTGATACTCAAAGAAATACTGTGAAAGCTGTAAACAAACATTTTACCAGGCAAATAAAAGTGAAAACACTGAATGGCTTGTTATTTGCAGATCTGAAGTTTCAGAGCCCAACAGCAGCACAACATCAAATGTACTCTACAGATAGTTACCTATGGAGTCTAGAAGCTAATAGCATTATGTATTATTAAAAATATGTATTATTAAGAACTGACAGGCTGAGACTTCATGATTAAAACTGAATTCAAGGAAAGAAAGAAATTAAAAGACTTGTCAGTCAGCTGTGCGTTTGCTAAAGGAGTGACATTATTTCACCAATTTCAGAATTAGTTATACATTCAGCATAGATTAAAAATCTGTACTATGTAACATACAGTCAATTACAAAGTACTTCAACATTGAGGTCTAGTGCTGCCACACCACCTGAATGTGGTACTGAATGTGTACTCAAACTGATCCATGTAATTTCAAACACCCAACTATTCTGTTCTTTCCACATAATAGTTTCTCTGTCCACCCCTTGTTCTTTCCCTCTCCTTGATTTCATGGTCTTGCCCACCGTACGATTTCAATTATATTCCAGCTAGGCAGATGTGGAATGCACTTTTAAGCCCAGGTAGAATAAATCAGTAGGCATTTAAAAATATATATCAATTGATTCCACATTATTATATTCAAATAGGCATTGAGCACTGGATTTCTTACCAGTCTCTGAATACATAAGATACGATGTTGTCTGTGGTAAACAGGCCTTTCCCCTGCACATTCCTTCTGCAGTTTTAATTACAAGTATCTCTGTCAATAATCACATAAAACAACTAACATACACTACATTAATAGTCTAACAAGCAGAAATGCATGATGAAATCAGAAGACAAGATGGCATGGTAATTTATCTGCACATTTTAGAGCAAAAAAGTGTTAAAAGTGTGGACATCATTCTTACAGCATCCAGATGATTAAAAACACTTGCCTGTAGAACAACATCTATGATTGATTTCATGCATACAAATAATAAATACAGTGGGGGAAAAAAGTATTTAGTCAGCCACCAATTGTGCAAGTTCTCCCACTTAAAAAGATGAGAGAGGCCTGTAATTTTCATCATAGGTACACGTCAACTATGACAGACAAAATGAGATTTTTTTTCTCCAGAAAATCACATTGTAGGATTTTTAATGAGTTTATTTGCAAATTATGGTGGAAAATAAGTATTTGGTCAATAACAAAAGTTTCTCAATACTTTGTTATATACCCTTTGTTGGCAATGACACAGGTCAAACGTTTTCTGTAAGTCTTCACAAGGTTTTCACACACTGTTGCTGGTATTTTGGCCCATTCCTCCATGCAGATCTCCTCTAGAGCAGTGATGTTTTGGGGCTGTCGCTGGGCAACACGGACTTTCAACTCCCTCCAAAGATTTTCTATGGGGTTGAGATCTGGAGACTGGCTAGGCCACTCCAGGACCTTGAAATGCTTCTTACGAAGCCACTCCTTCGTTGCCCGGGCGGTGTGTTTGGGATCATTGTCATGCTGAAAGACCCAGCCACGTTTCATCTTCAATGCCCTTGCTGATGGAAGGAGGTTTTCACTCAAAATCTCACTATACATGGCCCCATTCATTCTTTCCTTTACACGGATCAGTCGTCCTGGTCCCTTTGCAGAAAAACAGCCCCAAAGCATGATGTTTCCACCCCCATGCTTCACAGTAGGTATGGTGTTGTTTGGATGCAACTCAGCATTCTTTGTCCTCCAAACACGACGAGTTGAGTTTTTACCAAAAAGTTATATTTTGGTTTCATCTGACATTCTCCCAATCCTCTTCTGGATCATCCAAATGCACTCTAGCAAACTTCAGACGGGCCTGGACATGTACTGGCTTAAGCAGGGGGACACGTCTGGCACTGCAGGATTTGAGTCCCTTGCGGCGTAGTGTGTTACTGATGGTAGGCTTTGTTACTTTGGTCCCAGCTCTCTGCAGGTCATTCCCTAGGTCCCCCCGTGTGGTTCTGGGATTTTTGCTCACTGTTCTTGTGATCATTTTGACCCCACGGGGTGAGATCTTGCGTGGAGCCCCAGATCGAGGGAGATTATCAGTGGTCTTGTATGTCTTCCATTTCCTAATAATTGCACAGTTGATTTCTTCAAACCAAGCTGCTTACCTATTGCAGATTCAGTCTTCCCAGCCTGGTGCAGGTCTACAATTTTGTTTCTGGTGCCCTTTGACAGCTCTTTGGTCTTGGCCATAGTGGAGTTTGGAGTGTGACTGTTTGAGGTTGTGGACAGGTGTCTTTTATACTGATAACAAGTTCAAACAGGTGCCATTAATACAGGTAACGAGTGGAGGACAGAGGAGCCTCTTAAAGAAGAAGTTACAGGTCTGTGAGAGCCGGAAATCTTGCTTGTTTGTAGGTGACCAAATACTTATTTTCCACCATAATTTGCAAATAAATTCATAAAAAATCCTACAATGTGATTTTCTGGATTTTTTTTCTCTATTTGTCTGTCATAGTTGACGTGTACCTATGATGAAAATTACAGGCCTCTCTCATCTTTTTAAGTGGGAGAACTTGCACAATTGGTGGCTGACTAAATACTTTTTTTCCCCACTGTATGTTGAGTTGTGTTTAAATACTTTCTGTCATCATCACATGAAGTCCTATGATTTACAGAGCACATCTGGAGGTTGTTAAGACGGTTCATTGCCCTCCTGTTTGTCTTTATGTATAAAATACTGTTTGGGATTATATTTATATTTATTTTAGGTCTGCAGAAAACCATATCTCAAGGTAAAGCATGCTGTAATAGATCTACATCTACAATATGAAGACATGCTACAGTACAAATACAGCAAACATTTGACTACTAGCACAGCCACTGCTCAACCTCTTGATACAATTGACTAAATTGCAAAGGCACCTATTGCCAGTAACACATTATTTATTTAACAGATCTCTCTCACTCTCTCTCTCTCTCTCTCTCTCTCTCTCTCTCTGATTCTAGATGTTAGAGAAACATGTGGTTGTGAATTGCTTACAAACAAGCGTTTAAGAAAAACAGTTTTTGTTCTTGTTTTCTATTTTGAGTTCTTGTTCAGATTAATCTCAACAAACAACTTTAAAGGCAAATAAACATTCACATTTTACTTTAATAATCCCTTTCTTTTCTTCTTGAAAAACTCTTCAAAAGAAAATGATTAATTGAAAACAGGTTTTTACATATGCTCTTAGGAGTTGGTGATCTAATAGAATCTGGCAGGAGAAAATCGCTCTGCTCTCTGTCCAAAAGAAAAGATAGGCAGACATTGCTGGGAAAGGCAATGAGGATTCTGAGGATCTTCAGGAATTTATATCCTCGGGTCAATTTCAGTGTATCTGGGTGCGCCAGTATCTCCACATCTGGCTTAATCGTTGCAATCAAGCCTGAGAGATGTTTGGATACAACTGTTGTTTTGGATCATAAATTGAGGCCTAACAGTAGGAGAATACTACTGTGTGGGGAGGCTGAAACAGTGCATTTGGCTCTGGGGCCAAGCAGCTGATTACCTCACCAACACTCCTCATTAATCAATGTGCCAAATGAGTTTATTCAAGATTGGCCCAATTCATCATAGTCTTTTTGATGCAGAAATATACTTAGAAACTGTAGTACACACTTAACATGAAATCATAGGGAGAGTGATTGAATGGTGTGACTGTCTTTAAAATAGATGCCTCCATAATTGTAAATTTGTAGTACATCTTTTGAACAATAATCATTTCAGCGATGAACCAAAATATTCCTGTTAAACGTGGTCTGGGTCTATCAATCATGCCTCCATCACAAGCATGTGTTTAAAAAAGTGAACCTCTAACAGTGGGGTTC